GGTGAGGAAGGAAGTGCGCTTGTGTTGCAGTGGTCCTTCCTGGATCTGGACTCTGTTTGTTAATCTCCTCACCCCCGTATGTTTGACACTGAGGAAGGAGATTGACTGTGTATACCCTCCTTTGAAAAGGATGTGGAACTGGAAAGCCGTTTGGAGGTTACCTGTTGTCCTATTGGAAGTAGCTCCCTCCATTGCCTGCCTCATGCCAAAGTGTGGCTTTTCATCTTGGCAAACCTATCAGCAGTGTTCCCCGTTCTAGGAAGTGTTGGCCCTGAGGAAAGCCTAGCAACAGCAGGAGACACTGCTATTTCAGGGTCAGCACTGGCCTCAGTCCAGAGGTCTCCTATCATCATTCACTGTCAAGAAACCTCAGCGGTCATGTTGACCTCAGCGCTTGCATGAGCTGTTAGGTGGACCTTATCTGATCAGTGCTTGCTTGCATGTGACTTTGGCAGCCACATGTGGGTAAGTAGAAAGGACTTGGGGACCCAGAGGCTAGTTGTGTGACATTTGGGAAGCATTAGGAGAGAGCTACTTGTTCTCAAGCCCACTGACTGCTCATCAGTGCTGTTAGGAATTGAGTGATAGTGATGAATAAGGGTTCTCCACTATCCTGAACTGCAGGCAAAGAGGTCTGTGACAGTTACTGGCCCCTTGCTGCCCATTGTCCTCTGTTGAATTTTATAGGTCCCACCTATGAGTCAGGGGTGAAGAAACTAGAGAGAGGTGGGAAATCTCTTGAACTTGCAGGAATTGGGGTGGAAGGTGGGGATGTGATGGTCTGGAAAACCAGAGCACTCATAATCTGTTTTAAAACCTTGAATGATACCAGTTTTAGTTGACAGAAACTTTTTCAGAGTTGCTTGATAAAATGTATATTATACACACAAAAACATGCTGTGAGATATATTAGTTATACCTATGGGTTTTTATTGAAAAGGAAAAATTGGGGCCGGAGAGGTAGTACAGGGTGAAGGCTCTTACCTTGCATATGGCTGATCCTGGTTTGATCCATGGCAAAGCATATAGTTCCTCAAGCACTGCTAGAAGTAACCTCTAAGCACCACCAAACACATGTCCCCCCAAAAAAAATTGCATAAGGGGGCCAGGAAATAGTTCAGTGGTAATGATGCATTCCTGATATACACCCAACCTGGGTTCAATTCCTGGTACCACAGGATCTCCTGAGCATGCTGGGTGTGGCCCTGGATGCCCCCAACACTGTAGGGTCACCTCTTTAGGTCCTGTTACTGAACGAATGGCCTGATTGGCTGATTGGCTGAGAACTGCTGGTAACCCCTTGCCCCCAAATAAAATTACATCAAAGAATCAGCCAGAAGGGGCTAGGGAGATAGTATAGTGTACCCTACCTTAATTTGATCCCTGACACCCCCTGGTTCCTCTAAGCAGGTATAGTTCTGGAGTTAACTTGTGATTTTCAGCTGCGGGCCTTGGCTGGAGGCTATAATAAGGGGGAGGTTATGCTTTTCTGAATTTTGGCATAGAGAAAACCAGTACCTGAGATGCCCCCAGTGGCCAAGTGTCTTACCCACTGTACCATCACTCTAGCCCCTTACTCCTGGTTCTGCACTTGGTCATTCCTGCCTGGCAGGCTTAGGGGACCATATGAAGTGCCGGGAAACAAATCCTGGTCTGTTGCATGTAAGGTAAGCACTCTACAAGCTCTGCCATCTTTACAACTCAATGAATGATTATTTTTAAAAAGCCACTCAACTGTTGGATTAAAGCTATTAACAAATTTCTTTCGGACTTTTAGATTTCTTTTTACCATAAAAGACTGATTTAGATAGCATTTTTATTACAAGGGATCACTCCTAGTAACACTTGAACTGCAAGTCTTTGCCTAATTATTTTCGTTTTGGGTGGTTGGGCCACACTCAGAGTACTGGGGCTACTTATGGAGTGATCCCTGGCAGTACTCAGGAATCACTCCAGGAGTAGCCCCTAACACTAAGGTCTACCATATCCAAGCCCAAGTTCTTAACCCCTGTATTATCTCCTGCCCCCTCCTTTTTTTTTTTTTATAATTGAGTCATCATGAGAATAGTTACAAAGTTTTCAGGTTTAAGTCTTGGTCATACAATGATCAAACACCCATCCCTTCACCAGTGCACATTTTCCACCACCAAGAACCCCAGTATACCCCTCATCCTGCCCCTCCCCCTGCCAGTGTGGCAAATGATTTCCATTTTACTCTCTCTCTACTTTAATTACATTCAATTTTTCGACAGAAGACCTACCATTATTATTTGGAATTTTCCCCCAACATTCAGACCTGCTGAGAATCATTAGATAATTTGTTTTCTATTGCTGATAATGAAGAGCATTTTGGATTTCTGATATTTTAGTAATTAAGGCTGGAGGGATTTCTGGCTCCTGACCCCTTTTGATGCTCAGGTGTAGAAGTATTCTGGGGTGGGGGAGGTGGTCACCAAATTTATACCTGATGGTGCTCAGGGGCCTCAGCGTGTGCAAGGCATGTGTGTTCCACACCTTTGAGCTACCATTAGTCCTCTGCATTGTCTTATTAAGTTGATTTGTGGTATAGGTTTAATGCATAGAAACTTCATGGTTATAGAATGCTAAGAGTATTTGGCTCCTAGAACTAATTATTTTTCCTAGTCATTCACTGTTTTCAACCTCTGATAGCAGATGGATATAAATGGCTGATTGAGAGACTGGAAATAATAACTCTGGTTGAGTGCATGACTCACAAATATGAGACTCTGGATTTGATCCTTGGCACCAAAGAAATTGGGAATTAAATTCAAAAGCTTAATGCTGATTGCCGGCTGAAGTGATAGCACAGCAGGTAGGGCGTTTGCCTTGCAAGTGGCCAACATGGCCGACCCGAGTTCGATTCCTCCGCCCCTCTCGGAGAGCCCGGCAAGCTAACGAGAGTATCTCGCCCACATGGTAAAGCCTGGCAAGCTCCCCGTGACGTATTCGATATGCCTAACACAGTAACATTAGTCACAATGGAGACCTTACTGGCCAGCTGAGCAAATTGATAAACAGCGGGAGGACAGTGACAATGCTGATTATTGTTTTCTTTTTTTTTTAATTTAAAATGTTTTTTTTTCTAGGAGGAGCACACCCATCAGTGCTCAAGTCTTATTCTTGTCTCTGCTTAAAATCACTTTCTTTTGGGGGGGGGGGGGTCACACTGGGCGATGCACAGGGGATACTCCTGGCTCTGCACTCTGGAATTGCTCCTGACGGTGCTCAGGGGACCTTAAGGATGCTGGGGATTGAACCCTGGTTGGCCGTGTGCAAGGCAAACGCCCTACCCACTGTGCTATTGCTCCAGCCCCTCAAAATCACTTCTGATGGGGCTCAGGGGGATTATTTGTTGTGCCAGGATCAAACCCAGGTCTGTTATGTGCAAGACAAGTACCCTGCCTGCTGCACTATCTCTGGCCCAAGACTCATTTTTTGCTGTAACAAATATAAACTAACTGGGCTGGAGTGATGGTACAGCGTGTAGGGCACTTGCAAGGGTTTAATGCCTGGCATCCCTTATGAGAGCAGAGCCAGGAATAAGCCCTGAGCATCGCTGGGTGTGACCCTAAAACAAAAAACAAATGTAAACTTTATTTTTGTTCTTATTGATGTATCATTAGTTTACAACATCATAGAATTTCAAGTGATATAGGACTTCCATATATGTATAGTATTCACCACGCCCACATCAGTCAAGTCCCAGCCATGGCATTCTTCCCCCTTTCCACTGAGCTAGCCACCACAGGTACTGTTGAGTTCTGGATTTCATTTTGTTGGATTTTGTCAGGTTATTTTTATTTACTTCAGTTATTTATATTCTACATATGTGTAAAGCCATCTGTTCATTATCTTTCACTTTCTGATTTCTTTTAGCTTAATCACCTCAAGTTCCATCCATATAGTTGTAAATAACACAATTTCATTTTATGTGGGCCGGCACTAGGGTGGGAGAGGGATTGAGAGGAGGTTGAGCCACACCTTTTGTTGCTCCGGGGCTATTCCTGGTTCTGATTCTGTGCTGTGCTCAGGAGTGGCCCCTGTTGTGCTAGGGTTTCCAAATGGGATCAGTGGGGCAAATGTCTTAACTCCACTACTATCTCTCTAGCCTCAGTTTCATCTTTTTTTCCTTTTTTCTTCTCTCTCTTTTTTTTTAACCACACCCATCAATACTCAGGGCTTTACTCCTGGCTCTCCTCTCAGGAATTACTCCTGGTGGTGCTCGGAAGACCTTATGGAATGCTGAGGATTGAACCTGGTTGACTGCATGCAACACAAGTGCCCTACTCACTGTACTCTCTCCATCCCCTCATTTTTTTTTAAAGAAAGAAATAGCAGAATAGTATTGGGTATATGCCACAGATTCTTTATCTGATTATCTGTCAGTAAACATTAGGTTAATTCCATGTCTTGAATATACACTGATGTGGTGAACATACAGGTGTGAAATGTTTTCTTTTTTAAATTTGAGTTTGTTTTTTGGGCCACATCTGGCCATGCTCATGGTTTACTCCTGGATCTGTGCTTACGAATCACTCCTGGTAGGGCTTGAGGAACCATACGGGATACCAGCTATTGAACCAGAGTTCACCATGTGCAAGTTAAGTACCCTACTCTCTTGATATCACTCCAGCTCCTTCAAAAATATTTTTCTGCGGGCTGGAGAGATAGCACAGTGGGTAGGGCATTTGCCTTGCACGCGGCCGACCCGGGTTCGATTCCCAGCATGCCATATGGTCCCCTGAGCACCGCCAGGAGTAACTCCTGAGTACAGAGCCAGGAGTAGCCCCTGTGCATCGCCGGGTGTGACCCAAAAAGCAAAAAAAAAAAAAAATTTCTGCTTGCAGCCGACCCAGGTTCAATTCCTAGTAGTACCTATGGTCCTCTGAACACTGCTAGGAGTCACTTTTGAGCACTGCTAGGTGTGGCCCCAAAACCAGATTTTTTTCTAAACTAACTTCTTTTTACTGTCATTTCAGAATTTCTAGAAGGAGGAGTTGGCCATGTTGAAATGTTATTTCGCTGCAATTATTTGGCTTTAGTTGGTGGTGGAAAAAAGCCGAAATATCCCCCCAACAAAGGTAAAGTTGATCACAGAGCTCAAATATCAGTGCTGTGGACTGTTTCTATAACCACATTTGATCTCCCCTGGTGACCTGTGAAATAGAAAAGACTGATCATGGGGAAAGAAGCATCCAGAAAGGGAGTCCCTGGGAGAAGTCATTTGTCCTCACATGCTTCTCAGTGTTGATTGAGTAAAAACAGTGCATGGAGTGCCTCTGAGCATTTTAATGGTTTTATGTCCTACATGTCATGTTTGTTTTATTTATTTTTTTTCATAAGTTCCTTTTAATAACCAATAGGGGAAAATGGAGATGATGGCTTTTCTTTTTTCCTGCAGAGCCACAGAATCAGAAAATTAATGTGGTTTTCACATATATTAGAGGCATGTTTATTTGCTCTAAGTTTCAGGATATTGTGTGGTACATGTTTGTACATGTGTGCATGCACACACAAGTCTGTGAGAGCAAAGATTGCAGTGGAGCATTCAAGAATGCTCCACTTTTCAGGTAACAGAAAACTTACCCAGCAGTAGTTCTCTAAACTAGATTCCAGTTGAGGGGAGCAAAAGGCCCTAGAAAGGCAGGAGGAACACTGGAAGAAGTGACAGATGGTTTGGTGGAGATCATGAACAGATCATGGGGACTCAGGTGTACTTGGTGAGGGTGTGGTCAGGGGACTCAGATCATGGGGACTCAGGAGTACCAGGTGAGGGTGTGGTCAGGAAAGCAGTGCTGTGGCATTTTGGAAGCATTGTCTTCTGGAAGTACTGTTTTAGGCTGAGCCAAAAGATCAGAAGCTCAGGAATGATAAGGGGTCCATAGTTCACAGGAACAGGAAGGGAGACTTAAGTATGCTGAGGATCAAACTTAGTGCTCCCTCCAAGCCAGGCATGTGCTCCATCCCATTGTGCTCTCTCTCCAGGTTCATATATATAGGGAAAGGGGACCCCCCCCTCCTCCGCCTTTGGGGCCACACCCACTGGTGCTTTAGGACTTCTGGCTCTGTGCTCAGCAGTCACTCCTGGCGGAACTCAGGGAACCTTAATGGGTTATCAAGTGCCTGATCCACTTGTCTTTCTCTCTAACCCCTAAGAAGTTTCCTCTGGAGTCATGTTATCCTTTCCTTAGGAGGTTGTGAGTGTTTGGTATTGCAGGGGTACTTTCAAACAGTGAAATGCTATTGGAACTGTCCTACCCACACCTGTTCATACATTGATGAGTGTTCTCCTTTGCTTCATTAAAGGAAGAGTTTATGAGGTGTAGGAGAAACAAAACTCAGATTTTTCCCAGATGGTTATGTACAGTTAACTTTTTCTTCAGAAGTAAGTAAATTTTACTTAATAAGCTAAATAAGCTATTGGTTGGTGTTAAACTTTCTCTTGGTTTGAAATTAGGTCATTTGTTCCATTCTGTCAAAACTTAGAATTAAATTCTTGCCTCAAGGACTCATGTTGGTCATGTTATAAGAGAACAGTGCTTAGCTTCTGCTCATGATCATCTTGCCCTTGAGTTGACTGCCGAAGAGAATTTATTTTGCTCACCTGGATTGCAGTCCCAGAAATATATTTGTCTGAACTCTAGGCAAGGTCTGGCAGAGGAGATGAAAGCCTGTGTGAACTTGAACACATATGCTGAAGTGTGTGAGGAAGACAGATTAGTTGTCTGTGCTGAATAGATGGAGAAACGATGAGCTCAGGCTACCAGAGGAGCTGTGATGAGCAGGGTGGTGCGCGGGGCTGGAGTTGCTGGTTAGAGAGCAGCACTTCTACCTAGTGACCCTCTGAGGTATTTATGACCAAAGGCCCTTTCAGAAATGGTATTAGCAGCTCAATGATGGGGCTCAGTGCTGAACAGTCCGTCACCGTGATCTGTTTACACAGCACATGGTCCTTGGTCGTCCCCACTGTCGTCCCCCGCACACTCACATATACATACACACCTACCCACCCACACACTGGCTTCAACAATTCACCATCACCTATTTACACCACTCACACAATCCCTGGCAACATACACAACACACAGCCTTAACAGTTTGTCACCATTGCCTCTTTAGAAGTGTTCACAAATGTTTCCTAATGTTTCAGTGATGATCTGGGATGACCTGAAAAAGAAGACTGTTATTGAAATAGAATTTTCTACAGAAGTCAAGGCAGTCAAATTGCGGCGAGATAGGTAGGTTTGATGTTTCAAAGTTTTGCTTTGGTTTGTTTTGGGGCCACTCTTGACTAAGGGCTCAGAGTTCACTTTTTCCTTCTTTTTTCTTTTTGGGTCACACTTCTGGTTCTGCACTCAGGGGTTACTCATGGTGGTGCTTGGGGTACCATATGAGATGCTGGAAGTTGAACCTGGGTAGGCCGTGTGCAATGCTAATGCCCTACCTGATATACTATCCTCTGGCCTCCCAGGTCCACTCTTGATGGACCATGTGGTGTGGGGGATGGAACCTGGGGTTCCCTTTTGCTAAGCATGTGTTCCAGCCCTTTGATCATCTCATTGTTCGAAGCATATACATTTGTGGGGGGAACACACCTGGCAGTGCTCAAGGCTTATTTCCGCCTCTGTGCTCAGGAATCACTCCTGGCAGGGCTTAGGACACCGGATATTGTGCTGGGGATTTTGAACCTAGGTCAGCAGTGTACAAGGCAAACCTTTGTCCTCTCTGTGACCCCAGCATGTACATTTTTAAGTGGATACATTTTTCTGTAGGTGGATGAGAAACTTTCCATTAAAAGAAGAAATCATGTATTAAAATGTGTAACTGGCACCAGTTGAGATGACTTCATTGGGTGGAAGAGCACGTCCCAGTTAGGTGTGGGGTCCTGCAGTGCTGCTTGCTCCCAAAGCTTCCTAAGTATGGTCCTGGGGGCCTCTTGTGTGTGCTGCACTGGCCTTAGCACCAAGCCATCAACACTGTAGGACCGAGCATAGTGGGGGATGGCCACTTTAAAAACTAAAATGGCTGCCATTTGTGACCCATGTGACAGTTCTGTTGAATCCAAGGACCCGATGGCCATTAAATGGGCTGTGGGGGAAATGTACCTGGGGGGCTAGGGTGTGGGGGTGAGGGATGGGTATGCTCTTGAGCTTTCAGTACTTCAAGCTATTTTCGGCTCTAGACAAAGGGTGAGGGAGCATTTGAACCTTAATTTGACCTTGAATTTGTTGAAATGTTTAACCAGTCACACTGAATCTGTCTTTGAGCAAGAAAGCAAGGAGATATAATTATTTTACGTCAAGACAGAACTCAGCCAAACAATCACCTGAGATTGCAGAGGTACAGAGTGATTTTGATAGGAAGATTCCTGGCAATATAGCACACTTGTGGGACAAAGAGAAGAAGAGCAAAAGAAGAGGGGTTCTTGATTGGTTACTTGGCAGCAGTATACTGAGGTAAATTGAGGAAGGAGGGGTACAATATGGAACTTAGAGGGGGCCCTTGTTGCTGGCAACCTTTGTGGTGATACATTCTGTTTTAGGGCCTAATTAGACAGTAATCTAATTGTTCCGTGGTCCTGCTCTCCTTCCCCATGAGTTTGGGTCCTTCTGTTCTGTTCTGGTTAGCTTTGTGGTTTATGACCTATTAATCTCTTCCGGTTCCCAGAATGGGCCACTCAGAGCTCCTGCCTCTGGCTGCCTTACTACCTGTCCTTTGTTGCCTACTTGTGTTTCTAACTTTCCCGCCACTATTACAGTACATCAAGATCAAGAAAAGGCATTTCTTAATTCAAAAGGTTCAGGGAGACTAGAGCAAAGACTGCCCTTTAATCCTTCCACTTCACAAACTGTCTTATTCATTTTGGAGAAAAGGAAGGGTTGGTATATCCTTAATGAGATGGTATTATTGGATCTCCCCTGGGAAAGGTCTGCTCTAGATGGACTCCGCTGTATCTTTACACCTCAGGTAAGGGTCCCTCAGCTTTGTGCCAGCCCGGAGTCCCGGGCTGCAGACTCCCTCAGATCAGTTCCAAGGGGCCCTGTATGTAAGGGCTGGTGGGTGAATTATCCTCCTGTTGGTGTTTGCTGGGTCTTAGTTTCAAAGAAATGAGCAAAAACCACAGACTACTTAAGCTTTATATTTCTGGGAAGAAGAATTTTGATTGTGGTTTTTTCTTTCTAGAATTGTGGTTGTTTTAGACTCCATGATTAAGGTGTTTACATTTACACACAATCCTCATCAGTTGCACGTCTTTGAAACCTGCTATAACCCTAAAGGTAAGAAATTCAGGGGTTTGGGACTGGAGCAATAGCACAGCGGGTAGAGTGTTTGCACGCGGCCTACCTGGGTTCGATTCCCAGCATCCCATATGGTCCCCCAAGTACCACCAGGAGTGATTCCTGAGTGCAGAGCCAGGAGTAACCCCTGAGCATCGGCTGGGTGTGACCCCCCAAAAAAAGCAAAAAAAAAAAAAAAAGAAATTCAGGGGTTACCTTTGGCAGCTCGGTGACCGCCATCCTCCAGAGGCCATTGGACAGTCAGGTTTGGGCCCTCAGTGATGAGACACACGGGGCCTCATGGGTTGGGGGTGGAGCCGGCCCTTTCCTCCCCATTCCAATGAGACCCCAAGTTGCTGCCCACAAACGGCCTCTCTGGCTCCTGATCAAGCTGCTAAATTGCCATGATCCCAGAGACTCAGGAACAAATCTTGGAACCCAGCAGGTCTTGGCAGAAATCCCTCCAGATTTAATTGTTAAAATTTTGGAATTTCAAAATCGACATGATATGTTATTCGTAACCAGTAATAGAAAACAAACTGTCTACTGTTGCCTTTTTGGCAGATCCGAGTGTTGGGGTAAAATCCCAAATAATAATGGTGGGTCAGGTGTCAAAATATTGAATGTAATCAAAGTAGAGAGAGAGTAATGTGGAGGTCATCTGCCCCACAGGTAGGGGGAGGGTATGGGATGTGGGGATACTGGGGTTTTTGGTGGTGAAGAATGGGCACTGGTGAAGGTACGTGTGTTTCATTGCAGAATGAAATGTACAATGTAGAAATCTTTCAAGACTTAAACCTGAAAGCTTTGTAACTGCTTCACAGTGATTCAATAAATAAAATTATAAAAAATGAAAAAAAAAGTAGAGTTCATGCCCAATTCAATCAGCCTAATCAGTGGCTGAATAAATAGCAGTACTCCTAGTTAAAAAAGAAGAGGAAGAAGAAGAAGAAGAAGAAGAAGAAGAAGAAGAAGAAGAAGAAGAAGAAGAAGAAGAAGAAGAAGAAAAAAGAAATTCAGGGGTTAGGGATCTATCGAACCCGGCTCGGCCAGGCTGGCTGCGCGCAAGGCAAATGCCCTATCACTGTGCTGTCGCTCCAGGGCTGGATCGATAGCACAGCGGTAGGGCGTTTGCCTTGCACGCAGCCAACATGACCAACCCGAGTTCGATTCCTCCGCCCCTCTCGAAGAGCCCGGCAAGCTACCCAGAGTATTTGATATGCCAGACACAGTAACAACAAAGTCTCCAATGGAGACGTTACTGGGCCCGCTCGAGCAAATCAATGATCAACGGGAGGGCCTTTACTTACTTACTTACTTACTTACTAGGGATCTATCTAGCTTGTGGTAGCACACCAGCTTTGCATGTCTGAAGGCACTGGGTCTGATCCCTGTCACCCTGCAAGAGAGGAGTGATGTGACAGATGACACAGGCCCAGGCAGCTCCACCTCCTTGGATGGGCTCATGTTTCCTGGCAGCATGGCTGTGGTGAGAGGTGGAGCATTTGGGGCTGTGGCCTGGCAGACGCAGCCTCTCCTTGTCCATCCTATCCTAGCTTTTCTATCTGGGTCCTCTGGGCTCAGTCTCTTCCCTCCCAGTTCATAATCTCATCTGTTTACATATTTTCCAGCTTCCAGGGACTCCAGGGTGGGCTCTGAAAGCCATGTTTTTGTGTTTTTGTTCTGAGACATTTCTAAGTTACAGTTGAGTACTAAGACTATCAAAACAAAGTGCCCCCTCTCCCACATGACCCTCAAGTTTTAACTTTCCAAATGTATTTGGTGTCTTTCTCATTTTGAGATTGCTTGCATGTTTTGTGTGTATTGATAATTTGCTACTTTTTATTGTTGTCCTGGTACACCACAATTTTTTATCCGCCCCCCCCTTTTTTTTAATGTGAGGAAACGATCTTGAATAGCTGCTGTTCTTGAATATTCACATAGAAGTCTTTGTTTGGATATATCTTTTCTAGTTTCTGGGTAGATACTGAAAATTATATAGTTACTGGCTCTGTCTTCACTTTATAAAATATTGGCATTGTTTGCCAAAGTGGCTGTATATCCTTGGGCTCAGCAGTGGTCAGTGAGCACCACTTTTGCGACATCTTGTAGACACTCAGTATCAGGGTATCACCAAAGGCACTGCTATGGAGGTGGGTGGGGATGGTGTCTTCTGTTGTCATAATTTTTCTTTAAAATTTTTTATTAGTGAATTATCATGGAGTGCAGTTACAGACTTACAGACTTTTGTGCTTGCGTTTCAGTCATACAATGATCGAGTACCCATCCCTCTACCAGTGCCCATTCTCCACCACCAATGATCCCAATATTCCTCCCACCTCCCCCACCCCGATAATTTTTATTTCTCTGAAATTTAGTGTCATTTCATGTGCCCTGTTGGCATTTGTATATCTTACATGTTTCTTCTAGAATTTTAATAGCTTTAAATTTAAACCTTTCAAGATAATTTTAAATCAGTGTTCTGTTTTGTTTGTTGTTGTTGTTTGGGGGGGGGGGGTTGGGAGGCAAAAAACATCCAGGACAGATAGCACTAGAGATCTAATCCAAGGCTTTTCACATAAGACATGTGCTATTTGCTACTTGAGTCAACTCCCTAGCCTCTCAGGTTAATTTTTTGCAGGGGATGAGTTGATGGCCACAGCCTGTGGTACTCAGGGTCACTCCCAGCTCAGTGCCTGGAGTCATTTCTAACTCTGAGGGACCGTGGAGTCCCAGGGATTGCAAGTAAAAAGTATGTACTCCAGCGTCTTAGCTCTCTTTCCTGTCCTTAGGTTCATTGGCAGGGGAATGGGAGACCAATGCTTAGGGCTGACTCCTGGCTGTGCACTTGGGGATCACTCTTGCAGGGCTCAAGGGCCCATTATGGGATGCCAGGGATCAAGCCCCGGTTGGCCACCGGCAAGGCAAGCAGCAAACACCCTACCCTCTATACTACTGCTCAGGCCCAAAACTCAGTCATGAACAACTTTGTAACTAACTGTGAGTCCCTTTAAAAATAATAATAATAATAATTTTAAAAAAGAGAATGTTACTGCATACATAAAAAGAAAAAGTAAAAACTGGAGATTTTACTTGTTGAGCTGAATCTAGACATGAGTGTCAGTTGCAGCCCCAATTCTAGGCATCTACCAGAACTTGAATTTTTCTTTGTTAGTGTCTTATACATCTACTGTTAAACTCATTCCTAAGTATTTAATGCTACTATTTTTAGCATAAATATTTTCTTTGCTACTGTTACTGGAGTAGTTTTGAGATATTAACAGTTTTGCTTTCTTAATTACAGAAGACAAGCCTAAAACAGGTTATTCAGCCATAAATACATCCGACTTTTCCAGTTTCAGTCAGGAAGCAGACTCACAGGAAATAGATTTGCTACCTTCACAAAGGTTTTGTGATCCTTACAGAAATCAGAAACCCACAATAAAATTTTCTTTAGTACTAGAAGGCATTGAGCAGATTTGAGTTGTGGGAAAGCAGAGGCTTTCAAACAATCCTAGGTGCTTACTTTGCTCTCTGTCCTGTTCAGGCCTCTGTGTCCTGTGCCCCAACAGTAACAACTCCCTCTTGGCCTTCCCGGGTACACACACGGGTCACGTGCAGCTCGTGGACTTGGCTAGCACCGAGAAGCCACCCGTGGACATTCCTGCCCACGAGGGCATCCTGAGCTGCATTGCTCTCAACCTGCAGGGAACAAGAATTGCAACTGCATCTGAGAAAGTAAGTTCCTGTCCCTGCCTCTTTGGGGTATGAGACTTGGCCACCCTTCCTGAAGATCAGACACCCTAGGGTCTTGGGCCACCTGCTCTAGGAATGAGTCAAGACAGGTAGAGATGGTTCAGAAAGTCATTCATTTGGGGAGCTTCATATTTTGGCAGCAGACTCAAGGTATTGATTTCTTTACAGTTTTTTTTATTTTTGTTACTTAGGCCACACCTGGCAGTGCTCTGGGCTTACTCATGATTCGGCATTCAGGGATCAATCCTGGTGGGGTGGAAGTGGGTTGGGGGTGGGGGGCAGAAATACAGGGTGCTGGGGATGAAACATAGGTTGGCTGTGTACAAGGCAAGCACTCTACCCACTGTGCTGTCTCTCTGTGCTCCCCACCCCCATTAAAAATTGTAAATAAAAAAAGGTGTTACTTTTTTGCAGTAAGCTTTGGTGTTACAGCTAAGATGCCATTTCTGAAGATAGGCTGACCGCATGCCCAGAAGGGCTCCGCTCGGGTCTTGTACATGGAAAGAATTCCATGCATAGGCTTGATGGAGTGATACCAGTAGTGCCTACCTGCCCTTTAAGTTACAGTGGAGGAGAATGTTGAGTTTTAGATGATATGGTGGGTTGAGAAAGGGTTTTATGGACTAATGATCTTTTAAAGTACGAATCATTTCAAAAAATTTAAAAGTTGTGTCTTTGATAATGAAACACTTCACTGTTTTTCAAAGGGGACCCTTATAAGAATATTTGATACTTCATCAGGGCATTTAATCCAGGAACTACGAAGAGGATCTCAAGCAGCTAATATTTATTGGTAAGAGCCTGTGAGAGGCAGGAAGCTGCTCTATGGTTGGTGGGTGGGTTATTATTTAACTTCTAACTTTCTAGTTTAGGAATTTACATGGAAGTTGAATAGTGTAATTAACTGCTGTTAACCCATCACCCTGCTTCAGCACTGATTGGGATTTGCCAGTGTCATTTAATTTCTTTACTCGACATCCAGCTTCTTCAAAGTAGCACTAGATTTCTGTTGGTTTTTGTGGGGTCCAGCACTGAGGTGGCTGCTCAGTGCGCTTTCATCCTTGGCACCTCTGCCTTTGAAGGTTGGAGTGGCTTTTAGGCTTGTGAGATTTGGAATGTAATTGACTTGAATTTAGTGATTTGTAGTTAGTGTGTTCTAATCAGAGTTAGAACCCCCCCAGCCCAGGATCTGTCCACCTCCTGCAGGGCAGCTCATGCCCCTGTATGACTGTAGGAAGCCCCAGTTCTCCTGTCCCCAGCCTAGTAGAGGCACCCGAGGCACACCTCCTTTTGTGGGAGGCTAGGCTACCATGGCTTTGACTTTGGTTCTGGTGAACGCTGCTGTTTCTTAAAACAACAGGGGAGGCTGCTGGAAAGTAAAGTTGCGTGGTATATTTCTTGCTTGGGATGTGCTTCTCAGTGTTGTTGGTTTGCCTGCAGCATTAACTTCAATCAGGACGCTTCCCTCATCTGCGTGTCCAGCGACCACGGAACAGTACACATTTTTGCTGCTGAAGATCCAAAGAGGAATAAACAGTCTAGGTGAGTCGCACAAAGCTATTACTTCAGCATTTATACCTACAGTTCTGAGTCACCATTGATGTCTCATTTGATCCTCTTGAGATCAGTGCAGGTTATTTAATGCTAAAACAACCCTTGCTACTTCCAATAACTCCGACAAATAAATGTCTGAGTAAGATCCAGGCTCCTTTCTGGTGATTCAAACTTGTTTCTGAACTCCAGTGATAATCCTGGATGTTTTGCTGCATTCAGATTTGTGGTAGTTAAAGCCTCTAACATTTCTAGTGCAAGTGGCTTCATTATAAAGCTATTTGTAACCACATAATTTTCTGTAGAAAAGAAAAGCAAAAGCATGATTTAAAGTATACCATAGATGTCAGGAGAACTCTTATCTTTTTAACCTCATTAAGTAAATATGGCCTCCACTTTTTCCTTCCTTACCCTTACAGCCTGGCATCAGCCAGTTTCCTTCCGAAATACTTCAGTTCCAAGTGGAGTTTCTCCAAATTCCAGGTTCCCTCAGGCTCTCCATGCATCTGTGCCTTTGGAACAGAGCCCAATGCGGTTATTGGTAAGTGTCTAACCAGAAGATGACTGTGGGGCCAGAGCCATAGTACAACAGGGAGGGTGCTTGGCCTTGCACACCATGGACCCGGGTTGTATTGCTGGCACACCATAAGGTCCCCCGAGCTCTGAGCGCAGAGCCAGAGTAAGCCCTAAGTGTGGACAGGCTGGCCACACACACACACACACACACACCACACCCCATACCCCCATGCCTCCTGCTCTCACCACATTCACACACACCACACATATATACACACCACAACACCACACACACACTCACACTCACTTCATACTCACACTCACACTCTCTTTCCCTCGTCACTCCTAGTGGCAGCTCCTGCCTTCAGGGTTTACCCGAATGGATCAACTGCTATTTGAGCTGATGACCACAGAGGGCTTTTCCTGTGACTTCCACCTGCAGTATGGTTGCAGTCTGGGCTGTGTGTGCACAGTCACGGAAGGGAGCTCCTGAGAATTGCACATCACTCTACACTTCTCTACCATATACAGTTCAGTGTTTGCTTATAATATTCTGGAGACGATACACATGAGTAAAACAGTTTCCTTCTGTCCCAGCAATTTGTGCCGACGGCAGCTACTACAAATTCCTATTCAACCCCAAGGGGGAGTGCATCCGGGATGTCTACGCGCAGTTTCTAGAAATGACCGACGACAAGCTGTGACTTCACCAGGAGCACAATCAGCAGCTGTTGCCCCCAGAGCGCTGAGTGTGCCCCTCAAATTCCTGGGGCTGGTGCCAGCGCCCTTGGGCCTTGTGGGTGACAGGCTAAGGGACTGCCTGGGGAACCTTGGTCGAAGCCATATGTGGTATCTTTTTCCTGAGCACGGCTTCCCATTTCCAGTATTAAAGAACTGTCCCCATCACCATGAACACTCTGGTACTCTGAGCAGCTCATACTGCTGGTAGCTTATTCCTGTAGTTCAACTGTGACGCCGGCTTTCGTGGTTTCACTGCATCATCGTACCTACCATTGAGGCTCCAAACAAACTAGGTGTGGACTTGGCCAGGACAGACAAGTGAAGACGGTTTTGACAGTAGAGTCCATCGTTTTACTGAGTATCATGGGGAAATAAGTCAGTGTATAATTGTTTTTTCTTTATAACCAGATTTAAGTAGAATCCTAAATACCAGCAGCTTGCCTTAGGAAAGGAGAAAGGAATGCCTCCTCCCATCGAACATGGAGAAAAATAACACAGCTGTGTTTGAGAACACAGGGTGCGCATTTCCCTTCTGATTCCCGGTCATGGTCTGTGCCTGGTGCAACCTGTGGTTTGGTTGTGTGTGCTCAGTGCTGGGTCCTGTCTTACTCTCAGAGCTGTGAGGACTGAGGCAAAAGTTGGGCCCACTGGTGAGAGGCTGTGTGTCATGTGACTGCCATCTCTGGTGAGATCCCTGTACAGACTTTCAAACTTAGAGCAGTAAGCGTCCCTCAGTTTATGAAGAGGCTTATGAAGGGAACCACCCAACATCTCAGTGCTCAATGCTATTGGCATGGAGCGCCATCTCTCTCCCCAAAGTTTGTAAGAATAGCCGCGCTCACATTTTGAGAATGAAAGGCATATAACATTTTCTAACATTTGGTAACTAAAATAGGTTATGGGCTCTGTCTTATTGTTAGTACTACTTGAGGTATATATTTAATTTTCTTAAATTCCCTTTAAAGAAATTTATGTTTTTGATTTCAGGTTGCAAATATTTAAAACCTACAGCAGCAAGTTCTCAGTTTTGTCAGTTCTTTTACTGTCATGTAATCAACTAACTTTGTATGTGGATTTCAGTGTAAAGTATGCATGTTACTTTGTGTATTTAATCATGAAATTTAATTTTGCACACTTATTTGTAATGTTTCTTTTAAATAAAAGTGACTAATTTTGTTGTACTCTGTACCTTTTAAGGAAAAATAGACTTATGTATTGTGGTACAAGGCCTGGTTCAGAGTCTGGTTTGGTACTGACTGGAAGTTTCCCAGACTGATGGGGCAATCTGGAGTCTGTGTCCCTGCTCTAGGTACAGGGGTGTGACTTCTGTCAATGAGCTCTGCCTGCATGGTTCATGTTGGGGGGCTCTGGTAGGTAGGAAACGGTTCTAATTGTGGGTAGGGCTGGAAGAGAGACCCTCCACATTTATATACTCATTTCTCTTCACTCTCTGGTGTGTCCAAGAGAGGGAGGTGTGGCAAGGTGGTGTGGACACAAGGATCTGGTGAGTGCAGGGCAAATTAAAGGCAGTGCCCTTCCAGGAGAGGTCAAACCCTGGATAACCAGGAATATTGGCACTCACCCCGTAGGGTGGAAGAGTGAGGTCAGATCTGACCATGCTGCTCGCAACTGATGTCTTCACAGGATGATATGGCAGACCTGGTCAGGTAAGGAAGCACCTCCGGGGGCATTATCCTGTCCCTGCGGATTCAGGGCCTGGAGGCTGAGGCACCACCCACCCTCTCCAGGCTTCCTGGTGGTGGCTTCTACAACAGTAAGACCTCTGGTGTGAGAGAACTGTCAGTGGCCCATGGACTCTCCCTGGGTCCGCTCGGTGCAGGGCAAGACTGGGAGGGGTGGCTGTGCCTCACATCTTCTCGGTGGCCATGTTCTGACCTCAGCTAAGATGTTAGGGACAGTTGTAAAAATCTTCTCCAGTGCCTTCCAGAAGGCAGCCAGCACTAGGGTTTGGAATTTTCAGTAGGCAACAATGAGAAGTCCATTTCCTAACTTGGCTGGTGCTGTGGCAACCCCCTGTTCAGGGTTGTCCCTTGGACTGCTGCAGTCTGAGATGACAGCCAAGTCCTCACAGATGGCTCTAGTCCTCTGCAACTTGTGCCAAGTTTTCCCGTTTCATGGCTTCCTGCAGCAACCAAACTAAGCTGCCCAATGTCAGAGATTAAACTCTGAGACTTAGTCATGTTCTTTCTGGCATTCATGATGTGAGGGCAAGGACAAAGGTGGACTCCTGGTGTGAAATTCCACATTTCCTTGAGTCTTTCAATAGGAGCCATGACCTCGTTAAGCGTCTCAGGGACAAGTGAGCAGATTGCCTGCTGGTGTTGGTGTATTACCATGTGTGCAGAAGGGCAAGCCAGAGCTCAGGCATTCCCTGATGTGGGGCTGAACAAGGGAGATCATGGAGAGGGAAGAGGCGTGTTTACTTTGAAGTCAGTGTAGGTGATGGTGAACCACCAGGTAAGGAAAAGGTTCTGCCATCATAGGACCAGCTGCCAAGGACACATAGACTCAGCTAGGGTGGCTTATGGTGCTGGTGGCATTGCCTGCTTGTTAGTTAAACCCATTTAAAAAAAAAAAGTTCCATGGGGGGGTGGTGTGTGTGTATCAGAAATCACAGCTTTTCCCTGTGTGAAGCTTTGATCCCTGGCACCTCATAAAAATTACATTAAAATTTAAGAGGCCAGAGATGTGGTTCTGGCTTACATCCCTGAAACTGCAAACAAACCCCCTAAACAACAAATTGAAAACTGGAGAGAACAGAAGAAAACAAAGTTGTTCTGTATTGCCACCTCAGTCAACTTTGGAAACTCTAGGTCTTAACCAGAAACTTGGTACTAAATAGTTTTGGTTATTACTAACTTTGGGGCTACTCCTTAGGGCCACTTGGCTCTATGCTCAAAAGTCATTCATAGCAGTGCTGGATGACCATATATGGTGCCAGGGAATTGAACCCAGGCCAACCGCATGCAAGCCAATTGCTGTACTCTGGGCCCTAAAATGTATTTTTATAGTTGTTTAACCTTTAAAAACATGCACACATTTTTTTAACTAATTGCCCAAAGAATCTTACTTTGTGCTGTTAAATTTAAAAAGTGGAATCCTGGGGCTGGAGTGATAGTACAGCGGGTAGGGTGTTTGTCTTGCACGTAGCTGACCTGGGTTCGATCCCCAGCATCCCATATGGTTCCCTGAGCACCACCAGGGGTAACCCCAGTGCATCGCTGGGTGTGACCCCTAAAAAGCAAAAAATAAAAATAAAAAGTGGAATCCTGGGGCTGGAGCAATCGCACAGCAGGTAGGGCATTTGCCTTGCACACGGCCGACCCACATTCAATTCCCAGCATCCCATATGGTCCCCCGATCACTGCCAGGAGTTAATTCCTGAGTGCAGAGCCAGGAGTGACCCAAAAAGCAAAAAACAAAAATATTAAAATTTTAAAAAATGGAATCCTTGTACATATTATTACATGCTTGTCCAGCTGTCTCTTTGGATAATAGAAGTGAAACTCCTGGGCAGAGGGCTCATATGTTTAAAATTGGACTCTCACTGCCTCTTCTCCCTGCAATCTGTGTCCACATCCACCCAGACATTTTACATCTTGAAGACCAAACCCTGAGCACAATCTCTCAATCTTGAGTAAAGGTCTTCAGCAAGAGTCAACATTTAGAATGCTTTTGCTGGCATCTGTAACAGATTTTTTTTTCTTTTAATGTTTTTTTGGGTCACACCTGGCAATGCACAGGGGTTACTCCTGACTCTGCACTCAGGAGTTACTCCTGGCGGTGCTCAGGGGACCATATGGGATGCTGGAAATCAAATCTGGGTCGGCCACGTGCAAGGCAAACGTCCTACCTGCTGTGCTATCTTTCCAGCCACATCTGTAACTGATTTAAATAGCTTGTTCATGTTTTTATTTTTGTTATTTTTGTCTTTTTTTCTAAGTTTTTATATAATCATACATTGTTTTATCCGCTGTAATTCAATGGTGCTTTTTCTCTCCTATCAAGCTTGAACGTGTTGTACCCTTTCTTCACGGTTTTTGGTAGAGACTTATGACAAAAATAAAACACTTTGGGTGATATTTTATAGGTTCCCTTCATCCAGGCTGATGGAAAATGAGTTAAGTGTGAGTGTCATTTCTCCTGCACAGTCATCAGGCAAGGGCATCTGAAATCTTCCTTCCCTCTTGTCCTGGAATCTTATCTGGGTGAGCACTGGGAACACTCTGAGAAGGGTTCAGATTGAAATGAAAGCTATGAAGTTGTCTTATCATCGTGGCATTTTATCAGTTAGCTCAGAATTCACTAACTTACGATGGCTTCACTAACTTACAATGGCCATTTTATGTAGTTTCCATTCTGTTTTGTGGCCACACCTGGCATTCTAAGGATTGAACCTAGGGGTTTAGCATGCACTCCAGCCCCTAGGTTATCTGCCTAGCCTTGAGAGTTGTTTTAAACTATTTCTGTGGTTTCTTTGGGTTGTCTGAGGTTCTTGGGTCTGTGTTTTGGTGTCTAACATTGAGAAGATTCTTTGTTGTCATTTCAAATACTCTGGATATGCTGTTTTTCTTTTTTCTGTCTCCTTTTCAATTTTGGAGATTTCTATTGATGTACCCTGGACTCAGATTCTTTCCTTATCTGTATGCAATCTAATATGCCCACCTAACATTCTTCGTTTGTGTTTTTGAGCACCAATGCAAAGCGTCTACTGTGTGTGTGTGTGTGTGTGTGTATCTCCATCTATTCACATGGACCCTCTGTACTTCATCCTGTTAGGGCCCTGGGCCTACATCTAGTTCTGAGGTTCAGATCAGAGGGCTTGAGGGGTTATGATGTGTGGCAGCAGCTGGAAGGGAACCCTCTAGAGAGGGTGGCCGTTGTTGTGAACATGCTCAGCCAGCGTCCAGGAAAGCCCAGGAAGGAGATGCAGAGAGACAAGAAGTGTTATCAGGTCATTCAGAAGGCGCCATGGACAGAGGTGGGTGCTGCCTGTGCTAGCAGGGCTGGTACTCCTCAGCTCGCCTTGGTCTACACATGCCCTGTGAGCAGCAACTAAGGGGCATGGCAGCCTTGCCCTAAGCCTGATTTCTGTGCTGGCTCAGGAGAGATGGGGTTGTACTGTTCAGTGAGTGGCTGCTCACACTCACCTCTCCACAGCAGCTGTCCTCTGCTTCAGGTGATTTCAAATCCCGTAATCCAAAGGTGGGATATTTAGTTTTTGAACAAAGGCATTACCTTCAAAAAAAGTAATGGGGCTTTTGGCGTTGTAAATATTTTGACAACGGTCATGATGCATTTGGATAAGGGTGTGTGGTGAGCGTCTCCATTGAGAACTCAGTCTGTGAACACACTCAATTCTCTCACAAGTGGGGCAGAATGGCTGAGCCAAATGCTCCCCTCCCTCCAGGTCTCAAGCCCCAGTAACGAGGGTTCCCCTCCTGAAAATGGGTCCCTGTGTGCTGAGGAACTGAAACCTGGCTGCTTTTCTCAGGAGAACATGGGTCAGCTGGCAGTGAATTTCACGAGACTGAGTGCTCCTGTGTTCTTAGCCCGGTCTGCAAGTTTCCTAGCAGGCTAGCAGGCAAGTGCTCCTCTTCCTCTCTGGGCCTGGAGGCAGCAGCTGTTCTTGTGTCCTCCTTTCTTATTAGAAGAATCCCATATGCCGACTTTCCCCTACTCCCCTCTGGTTCAGAAGCTCTTGTTACTTAGGAGAGCAGGTCCGTATTGTGGTGGGTGGACACTACACTGTTATCTAATGGCCTTTATTCACAGCAGTTTTCCTTCTCTGGAAGTCACGAATGCTATTCCGACTCTGATGGGTACATCTTTTCCATTCTTTTTGGTTACGATACGCAGCTCCCTTTTTGGTTTGTTTAAGACCATAGTCAGCAGTGCTCAGGGGCTCCTCCTGGTGCTGCCAGGGATCCTGGGTGGGCCCTGTGCAAGGCAAGCGCCCTAACCACTGCACTATACTATCACTTGTGGCCCCAGTAGCTTCTTAGTCCACTTCAGAACTAGTATTTCACCACTTTACCTTTGTCCTCCTGTTGCAAACTAGTAAGTTACTTTCACATACACAGAAAACTCTGAAAGACAGAATTTTCATATTGAAGGCACATCTATTTCAAAGAACTCTGAGGGAAAAAGGATTTATCACATTGACTCAGAAACAATTACCTGAAGGACAAAAGCTAGCAGCAGAAATGGGGGCTGGATACAGAACAGTGGGCCAGGTGCTGGCCTGGCATGCGGCTAACCAGGCTTGATCTCCGACATCCCATATGATCTCCCCAGAGTACTGCCAGGAGTGATTCCTGAATGCTGAGCCAGGAACAACCCCTGAGCATTGCTGGGTGAGACAAAGGAAACAGAAATGGGGCTGGATTGTACCATAGGCAGGGCCAACCTGGATTCCATTTCTGGCACCACATATGGCTCACTGAGCCCTGCCATGAGTGATGCCTGAGTGCAGAATGTGTGGGTATGATCCCCTACCCCCCAAAACAAGGAAATGGTAACTATCACTTACTTTTTTTTTTTTTTTTTTTTTTTGCTTTTTGGGTCACACCCGGCAATGCACAGGAGTTACTCCTGGTTCATGCACTCAGGACTTACTCCTGGCGGTGCTCGGGGGACCATATGGGATGCTGGGAATCGAACCTAGGCCGGCTGCATGCAAGGCAAACGCCCTACCTGCTGTGCTATTGCTCCAGCCCCAATCATTTACCTTTCTGACTAAAGAATTTTCTTTAGCATTATTTTTTAGTAGCTCTGTTAGAAGTTCTTAGTTGTTTTGGGGTCATTCCCAGCAATGCTTAGGGGTTAATCCTGGCTCCACACTCAGGAATTACTCCTGATAGGGCTGGAGCAATAACACAGTGGGTAGGGCGTTTGCCTTGCACGAGGCTGACCCGGGTTCGATTCTTCCATCCCTCTCGGAGAGCCCGGCAAGCTACTGAGAGTATCCCCTCCACATGGCAGAGCCTGGAAAGCTCCTTGTGGCGTATTTGATATGCCAAAAACAATAACAAGTCTCACAACAGAGATGTTACTGATGCCCGCTCAAGCAAATCGATGAACAATGAGAGGACAGTGCTATAGTCTACAGTGCTGGAGGACCATATAGGACTACATAGGATCAAACCCGGGTTGGCCGCATGCAAGGCAAATGGCCCTCTCTGCTGTACTATAGCTCCCCCTTCCCCCTTTTAATCTAAAAATCTCTTCCTGTATTCCTGTAGGAAAGTGTATTGTAGATGAACAGTTACTTACCTGGCTTCACTCCCTGGTTTCCTTGGCTGTTTTCAAGCTTTCTGTTTCAGTGCTAAGGGATGTGCCTTGACATGGCTATCCTTGAACCTATTTTACTTGGGATTCAGTGAGTGAGCTTTGTCTATCACCCAAGTTGGGAAAAGTTGTTTTATACTCAGGTTCACCTTTGCTAGGACTTCACTGACACAGATATTTTTCTGTTACCCCACAAGTCCCTGAGACTTGCTTTTTTATTAAACATTTCAATTCAATTAAATGTAACCATTGATTCGGCTTGGAGTGATAGCACAGCGGGTAGGGCATTTGCCTTGCACGCAGCTGACCCGGGTTTGATTCCTCCATCCCTCTCGGAGAGCCTGGCAAGCTACCGAGAGTATTGCAGAGTCTGGCAAGCTCCCCGTGGCGTATTCAATATGCCAAAAACAGTAACAAGTATCACAATGAAGACGTTACTGGTGCCCGCTCGAGCAAATCAATGAACAACGGGATGACAGTGCTACAGTGCTAACCATTGATTCAGTGGCAGTTGTTGATAACTGCCCAAGTCTTCTTGCGAATTCAACATTTTGAAGTTGACATCTGTTCTCTTGTTCCCGTTTAAAGATTTTCCTGGCTGTGTGATGAGTGATTTTATATTTTCTGGATATTTTGCGTATCAGAGGCTGTCCTATTATTAAACCCTTCAGTGGGCTAGGAAGTGGCTCAGAGGACTAGGGCACAGCCTTAGCATGTGAGAGGCCAGATTCCATCCCCAGCACTACAGTTGTGAGTAGCTCCCCAGCACCCTCAGGCATGGCCCAGAAAACAAGACATGCAAAGCCTATTCCTTAGTAGGGGCAGGATGCCATAAGAGTTAAGGTGCTTGCTTTGTACAATGCAGCTAAACCCATCCTCTCCCCAATACTGCACAGGAAGGCTCCACCATGGTGCCGGGACAGCCCTTCCCTGGGTTTAGGCTGCCTCTTAACAATCAGTCACAGTCCTAGAGCTACACTAGAAAGGCTGCTCTTTTTGTTTTGCATTTTGGGTGATGCTCAGGGGGACCAACCATATTGGATGCCAGTTATCGAAACTGGGTAGGCCGTGCATACAGGGCAAACGCCCTTCCCGCTGTACTACTGCTCTGACCCTTTGCTTTTAAGACTACACCTGGCAGTGCCGGGAGGGGAGGGAGGGAGGATGCATGTGGCGTGTGGTGACAGAGCTGAAACCTGCCCTCATGTAAGGCTGCCAATTGCTTTATTACACTATCTCCCTGGCCCTGCCCCCATCTGCCTGCTACTTCCCGTTCTTTCCTGGGAGGCCCGAGACAGTAGTTTCATTTCTTCTGTTATGAAGTTAGCTGTGATCCCTTGGAAACATTTGGTGTTTGCTTGGCCTCTGGAAGGACATTTCTAAACCAATAATCCTCATGGGTTTGGTCATCTCAGTAGTCACTGTAAAATCCATTTGTGTTCCTGGTCACGTAAGAAGGAGGAAGGGGGGGGTGGTGACAAGTTCAGTCATATGTGATAGCCTGCAGACACACACATGGCCAGTGAGCTCTGTCTCTGTAGCGTGGGTCTTGATATGCCTCAGGCTCTTTCACATTCACCCTAGGTCTGAACTTCCTAAATGGAGACTGTATGTCGGTTCTTGAAGCGTCCATCTTCCTCAGACGAAATGTGGGCCTCCCTTTAACTGTCAAAGCTTATGAGACGTTTAGGACTGTTATCATTCTTGGATTGCTTCTTGTGTCTGAAAGCCTTTTTGTTTTGGGGCTATACCCGGTGGTGCTCAGGGCTCACTCCTGGCAGTGCTTGGGGAACCAAATGGTATGCTGGGAATCAAACCTGGCTCTGCCATGTGCAAGGTAAGTGGCCTGCCTGCTGCACCTGAAAGCTTTTTTTCTCTCCCTTAGAGGTAGTTTATCTGCTGGGATAGCTGTTAACTCTTTAACTCAGTTTAACTTTCAACAAAGTAAACCCAATTAACAGCAGCTTTCCCTGGGGCCAGAGTACAGCAGGTAGGGCACTTACCTTGTACACAGCCAATTCGGGTTCAACTTCCAGGACCCTGTATGGTTCCCCAAGCACTGCCAGATGTGTCCCCAAAACAAAGCAAACAGCTTTTCCTTAAAAAAAAAAAAAAAAAGGCAAGAACTTTTCCTGCTAGAAAGGATGGGGTAATGGGGTAAGACCATTTATGAAGTATGTATTCATATAGCACAGATAGCTGAAGTGATGAAAGCCAATTGTGAACACTTCCTTTCGTTCAAAGAAAATGTTGATTCTGTTGAAAGAGAAACTGTTCTTTCATGCTGGTACGAGGTGGTTTTAGAGCACTGTGAACAGAGTGCCACACAGAGACACTCTATGAACACTACATTTAGCGGCCCAGGGTCCCAGTGCCATGATGTCAAATACTTGCCCTAGCCTCCAGTCATGAGGGTAGTACTGTAACACTCTCACCATCACAAACTTGGTTTTTATTTTTTTGGTTTTGGGGCCACACCTGGTGGTACTCAGGGGTTACTGCTGGCTCTGCGCTCAAGGAACCATATAGGATGCTAGGGATCAGACCTGGGCCTACCCACTATACTACCACTTTAGCCCCCAGCACAGACTTCCTGGAAGCTGGAGGCCCAAATATTAGTTTGTGGGAGCTTGAATAACCATGTGCCTCTTTAGCAAAGTCTCAAGGAAGGATAGAACGCAGGTGGTTGGCTGAGGGGCAAGTATGCAGGAGAAATGGCAACAGCTGGTTTGCAAGGCTAGTGTCACACAAGCTGTCCTTACTGTTGCTTGTCACGCACACAGTCGGCGCCCCTCTGCGGGACAGGGCCCCTTAGCTGCTTGCTCCTGCCTGCACCTCTCCAGTACTTAAGAGTAGCACAAAGTAAAAACAAGAGAAACGTCTGCTTAAGGTTATCAAAATGACAATGATACTCTTCAATAAAAATTAATAAAAATATTTTATTGAATTTCAGGAACTTGGTACTTTTTAAGATTTCAAATCTTTGCACACAAATCACTATACTTCCTAAAATAGTGGCGGTCAGGACTTGAAGATTGTCGCTTATCTCCTGGTCACTAGCACAGAAATCCCAAGTCCTGACCCGGTGGCCCAGGCCCTCTGACCACGACCCCTGCAGAGGAAGCAGGGGTGGGGCTCTAGCAAAGCGAGAGGAGACGAGCTGACGAATACGCAGACACCTTGGAATGTGAACGTCCCATCTCTGCTCTCGAGTGGCTCAGGGCAGAGCTGCTGAAATGAAGTATCTAGCCCTCGGGGAGCGCAGAGGGCAGAGGTGGAAGCTGAGGCTGGCAGTAGTTCGGATCCGCCTGGGGGCAGCTGGGAGGGAGTTGGTGCGACCGGTGGTGTTGCTGTAGCACCCGGCATTGAAGCCAGCAAGCGGGATGGAGCAGTGACCCTGAGAGTGTGGAAGGCTCTTAGCTCCTGGGACAGGGAGCTGATTCCGGAAGTTCTTCAAGTGAGCCTGGGTTCTAGCAGTCGGCTAGTTCATGGGTGTTTCTCCTGCCTTCCCCCTGGTAGTCTAACACAACTGCAACAACGAATAAGCCGAATGAATACTGCACTGAAGAGAAAGAGAAGGGCCCGCTCCAGCTGCCTTAGAGTGAAAACCCATTCTGTTTTAAAACTCGAGAACTAAGTAAGCACACTTTCTATAATCACAGCCGAGTTCCTCCAGACCCATAATGTTGGTTGTAGGCTCAGAAATAAGTGATAGGCTGTGTTTACACAGGGAGCAAGAGAATCTCCCTGAGTCTTTGTTGCTCACTGGTGACAGGCACCCTGCAGTGTAGACACAGCTCCAGAGGGTGCACGGAGCATCTGTTTGTCAACCGAGCCCTTTGTCCAGCAGGCTGCCTAGTCTGTTCACCCACCTCAGGCTATTGGCAGTGAACTATCAGGACTGGAGGAGCCCAGCCTCCACCTCTTCCCACCCTGTCTAGTGCCAGTCGATTTTTTTCTTTTGACAAACTTGCAAACCTCTTGAGTAAAAAGATAAAACTACATTCTGAGGTGTCTGTAAAGTGCCTGGCAGTGAGGATGCGCTCCCTGAGGTGCTGACCCGCCTGCCTCCGTGTGCAAGTTAGTTTTGCTCCTGTCACACACGTGGTCTCATTCACATGGTTCCATTTTATTTAAGTGGCTGAGTATAAATCCAGCTAGTGTGCGGTAATTTCATAATTTTTAATATGCATTATCTGCAATAACATGTGACAGCTCCATACTGTGGATCGACACACAATACTTAGAACAGATTTATCATATTTGGTCTTTAGGTAAATAATAAATGTTTTGAGATCGCCTAAATATACCATTCTGAGCTGTTTCATTCCACCAGGAAAATACAGGGTTTCTCTTCTATTAAAAAAAAAAAATTAAATACCAAAATAACTACATTTAAATAAATAATGTTATGAAGATGACATTTAAAAATTCACGATGGGGCCGAAGCCCCCGTTCTCGCATGGCCGCTCAGCCTGAGCCCTGAACATGCCAGGAAGGGCCACACCTGGTCCTCAGGCGCCTGCGGCCCCAGGCGGGCTCGGATGCTTCTCACCTGGTTCCTGCCCGTAGGAGAGACATCGGCCTGGCTGCAGTCAGCTCGGAGAGGCTGAGGGGACTTGCCTACCCCTTTCCCAGGAAACGACGGGTCATTCCTAGCACAGCTACGCGCCCCACGGCGGGGGACAGCGTGCCAGTGCTGGGCAGACAGCTGGTGGACGAGGCCCGAAGCCAGAGGGTGGCACCCAAAGCAGCAGGTGTGCCGAACGGAGAGCTCTGTGACAGGTTAGAAACGGGGGAAGAGACAAGGGCGGGTCTTTTTCCTTTCCAAATGAAGCAGTAAGAGTTCGTTGTTTTAAACATACACAATTCTTAGGAGACTCGTTTTACTTAGAGTGGAAGTTAGGCCAGGGACAAAGTCAACACAAAGAAACAAACAACAGAAAATAGCAAGAGAAACAGTTAAGTGCAGCGGGCAGCTCTCTCCGCCATGGCCACATGCAGCCCGCAGTGTCTGTCCACCGTGCGTCCTACATGAAATGGAGGTGGGGTCAATTCATCAGGCAATGGCGCTAACGGGGACAACTTGCAGAGGTCGCCAAGAAGCTCCATCTGAACTTAGACGGGACAGACAAAAGCAAATCATTCCATCAGCTGAAAACAAATGAAAACAAAATGGTGTTTCTTTTCCCCAAATGAAATCCACACGAAAGGTCCTGTGTGATTCCAAATTTCCAGAGTAGAAATGGAGTGATGTGAAATGTCAAAGACCCCATTATTTTGTAAAGTAAGAAAGTACACCTCAAAATATTCTAATTCCACGTGTGAACAACAAAATACTGTCTTGTCTCCCAGTGCCGGCCTGTGGGCCCTCGGAGGGCAGTGGGTGTGGCCCCTGCAGGCCCCTCGCAGGAGCCAGTCCGGCAGGTGGGTGGGCACTGAGTGCGGCCTTGCTCGAGGGAGCAGAGTCCCTGCCGGGAGGAAGAGGCTGTGTCGGGCGGGGACACGGTCTCCGGAAGCGGCTTTGTTCGGGTGTGACTTCAGTCCGAATTAAGGAGTTTTAAGGCCACCTGGGTTTTCCGTGTTCAGTGCTGAGGTGAAGTCCAACCACAGGGCCCTCTACCCACCGAGGACGGGCGCGGTCTCCTTTTGGCACCAGAGTCGCGGTTTCCTGGGCCGCTAGTTCTGGCCACTCTTCTCCCGCACGGCCGCCGGCGTGTCCGCGCTCAGGGCGATGACGATGCTCTCGCCCTCTTCGGTCTTGACCCGCTTCAGCTCCGGCTGCTCCAGCTGGTCGCCGTTCTGGCGCTTGGTGGGGAGGGAGGCCGAGGCCGAGGCATGCGTCGCCAGCATGTGCAGAGGACTTGCTGCTGCTGCTGCTGCAGAGAGACAGGGAGTGAGACTCCACCCTGTCGGCCCCCCAGTGGGTGACTGGCCCTCCTGCTGAAGGGGGCAGTGGCTCCATGGGCAGAGTGAGGCCACAGTAGCGGTCATGCCCCTGCTGACGCTACGGAGACCCCACGCACGCACCCCACAGACCCCAGGTCAAATCCGAAGGCGACCAAAGGACTGCTTGGAATGTTGAGAGTTAAGACCGTGACACCAGGCAGCCCCCACGGGCAGCCCAAGACAGGCTTGTTGTGCAGACAGCACACAGACACGCGCACAGGCAGGAGCAGACCAAGCTCACGGGGCTCACGCTGCACTTAGGACAGTACCTGAATTCTAACCCTCTGCTGAGCTCGTGTGGGAGAATTACAAAATTTCCTACCAAAATAGAGCCTCAAGAATAGTGGAGCGAGGAGGGCAACAACAGAAAGCCACAGAGAGCTCATGGATGGGAGACAACACCCAATCGCCCCTCTGGCGGCTGTGGGGGACTGCAGGGTCTCTGGGTGGGCACACGGTAGCCCGGCCTAGTGAGCTCAGCTTTGCAGCCAGCATCCTGGGAGCGCCTTAGGGCAGGAATAGCCTAAAACCAGGGCTCACTGCGGTCTCCTGAGCCAGCAGGCAGAAGATGTGGAGCAGACAGGATGGACACGAGCACGCCCAGCCTCGTGTCGCCACAAAGCTCCTTCTCTCTTGGCTCAACTCACCTCTTGGGAGGTTGTTTCCAGGCAGACCCCTGGGAAGGGGAGTCGGGGGGGGGGGGGGGCAGGATGGGTAGCTGCTGTCCTTAGCAACATCCAAAGCACCCCCAAACCATCCCACGAGGCCAAGGGAGGCGGAGAGGACATCTGTCTGAGCACTACGGTGACTCCTGGCGAAGCGCTGGAGAAAGGGCAGGTCTGAGACGGGAACCAGGGCTCAGAGTCCCTGCAGAGGCACGCGGGGCACAGCCTCCCCGCCACAAGGGGAGATATTCACCTAAATGCGGGCTAGCAGCCCAGTGACAGCAGGGCCACCAGGGGGCACAGACGTCCCCAGCGGGGTTTCTCCTGATGCCTCTTTTCTGCTGCCCACTGGCTGGCAAGGGACACCCAGGGAAGGCAGTGAGGCGACAAATGTTAGGTATGTGAGAGCCATGCCCACAAACCATCTCCGGCTCAGCTATAGAAACTCATTTATTGGCCTTATTTCAGAGACCCATGGGTAAATTTCAGAGGAGATCAAAAGCTGCAGTTAATCTTGGACCCGCGCATGGCTGAAAAGACTGGGGCAAATTGGAGGGGGCGGCTTGATCTGGGGCCCACCCAAACAGAGCCCAGAGCAGCCGCTTGCTTCCACAATCCAAAATCGCCACCACACCCCTGGCCTCACTCCACCGTCTCATCAAGATATAATCTGCCGAAAATTCTGGTATGTGGATTTTATGACTGAAATCCCCTGGCTTTCTCAGGGTCAGGATGGGCGACCTCTCCCCACTTCCCTGTACTTCCAGAAAACTCAGTCACATCCACACCCCAAAGTGGCCACCCAAATGAAAAGCTACTCCAGCCTTACCATCCCGATAAAAATACTCAATGCTCTGAAAAAACACCTTGACCTCTTAGCACCTGTATTGCAAACCATAATGCACAAAAGGAAAAGGAGAGAGAGAGCAAAAAGAAAAGTGCCTCCCATAGAAGGAGGCTTGGGGGTGGGAGGTTGGGGGATGGTGGTAGGGAAATGGGAGACATTGGTCGTGGGAAATGGACACTGGTGGAGGGATGGGTGCTGGATCATTGTATAACTAAACCCAATCATCAACAGCTTGCAATGATCTATCTCACAAATATTCAATTTTAAAAAATTAAAAAGAAAAAGTAATGTGGAGTTCATGCCTAATTCAATCAGCTTAATCAATGGCTGAATAAGTAGCAGAGTAGCAGTACTCCTAGATTAAAAAAAAAAAAAACACTTCAGGAAGTGAAAAGAACCCACAGAAGTGAAGAAAATATCTGAAAATAATGTATATGAGACCAGAGACTACTATTCAGAACACGCAAAAAATAATTCAATAAGTATTTCTTTGAAGCAGATAAAGAGCTGACAAGTACTGGCAAGGCCTCATACCAACTCATATCGACTCTCTCCAGTCCTGTTGCCTAGTTTTAATACATCAATTCAAGGTGCCTCACACACCACGGAGGGGAAGTGAGTTGTCAGTCGTGGAGACATTTTAGAGGTTCCTCAATAAAGGAAAGAAAAGTTGCATATGGCTCAGCAATTCCATTTCCCAAGATATGCCAACAAGAACTCACACACATACATGCACACAAGTGTTCACAACCACCCCAGTCCCAAGAGAAGAAGATTCATCAGCTGATGGTGAAAATGAAACAGTGATTCTAGTACACCTGCAAGATGCCAGGCAGAGGCAACGGTGTTTGACTTCCCTCTCTGGCATCTCAGGGGCACATCAGCAGCTCTGTGTCTCTGGGGCATGAAGCTTCCTTTGGGGACCAACCACAGCGGAGCTTATCACTTACAACACACTTTGCAAACATCCCATCACTGAACTGCACACTTTTAAATGGTTGACTTGGGGCCAGAGCAATAGTACAGGGGCAGAGCACTTGCCCTGCACATGGCCAATGCAGGTTCGATCCCTGGTACCCCCTACGGTCCCCAGAGACTGCTAGGAGGATCCCTGAGCCACGAGTAAGCTCTGAGCAGTGCTGGGTGTGGCCCCAGACCAAAATAATAATTATTTTTAGATGGTCTATTTCATTTTCTGTGTATTTCATTCTACTTTGCTTTGGGGACTGTGGGCCACACCTGGCGGTGCTTGGGGCTTCAGGCAATGCCAGGGATGGAACCTAATTCTTCCATGTGGGAAAGATGGCACGCAGATCTCTGAGAGCTCTCTCCAGCTCTTTGATGTGGATTCTAACACACAGAATAAGCCAGAAGAGACTATCTGGACCCGAAGGAGAAACTGGGCATGATGCTACAGCTCATTTTAGAAAGTGAGGGACAGAGCGTATGCTGTGCAGAAGCAGGCCCAGGCTCAATGCCAGCACAGGCCAGAGCAGCTGTGAACACAGCTGGCTACAGCCCCAGACATCTTTTTCGAGCGGCCCATGCCTCACTGTGGACAGGGCCCACGCAGGCCACGCGCGCATGCAGTCCGTGAGCCATCTCCTCAGCCCCAGAGAGCCACGCGCAATGAGGCAGCAACACGAGCAGCGGCATCTAGGGACAGGGGAAGAAGCTGAGGAAGACAAAACAAGACTGGCTAGCTGTTATATAAAATAGCTGACATCTTCCGTGACGAGGAAGAATGCATTTCACCTCATCCCTCTCACATCCAAGTCCTCATGGACACAGCGCTCACAGACTTCAGCCTCTCCCACCTGCTCACATCTGGCTCTCACCTACTCCCCTGGGCACTGACCCGAAGGTATGCACGAATCCTTTATGAGTATAGTGAGCAGCACAAGCAAAGGAGTGATGGAAAATAAAAGTGCTGTGCCCTAGATCCTAACCGAGTAGGTTCTCATCACAGACCTCTTGCTCACCGGGAGCACCAAGAGTTCCCTCTAAGAGCATCACTACCACGGGGAGAAGGGTTAACATTTCCTCCACGCTCCCCAAGTGGGCAAAGGCCAGTGCTAATGAAGCCTGCTCTTCTCTAAAGCCCAGAGTTGGGCTGGAGCAACAGCACAGCGGGTAGGGCTTGCATGCGCCTTGCATGCACCTTGCATGCGCCCGACCCGACCCGGGTTTGAGTCCCAGCATCCCATATGGTCCCCTGAGCACCGCCAGAAGTAATTCCTGAGTTCAGAGCCAGGAGTAACCCCTGTGCATTGCCGGGTGTGACCCAAAAAAGCAATAAATAAATAAATAAATAAATAAAGCCCACAGAGTTGCAGAAATGCATTCTGGGGTCCAGAAACAGTACAAGGGTTTACAACTCTTCCCTGACATGTGAACAAGCCCAGCTCGATCTCTGGCACCACATATGGTTCCCCTTAAAGCCACCGCAGGTTTCTACTTCCCCCCAAAAGAGATCTCTGGAAGATTCCGCAGGGGGGCTGGAGCACTGTTCCACATGCCCAGTGCACCCAAGTGCCGAGTGAAATGGCCAAGTGTACAGCCCGGTGCCCCAAGTCAGGGCAGGCGCTTTCTGGCACCTAGTTGCATCCCTGGACAAAAAAAAAAATTAATACATCTGATTTTGCCTGCATTTGCTTTGGGATTAGTCAGCTGCATGCAAAGCAAGCGCCCTGCCTGCTGTACTATCTGTCTGGCCCAATTTTGGGTTTTATATGAAGTAAATTCATTTTTTCAATCTGTTTTCTAGTAATGACTGACAAATTAATTCATACACAGATCTTTATTTTTTGTTGCACAGGATAAACGTACTCAGCAAAAAATCTCCAACCTCAGTACAGAGCCTGTGACACTTCGGGAGTCAGTGAGTCAGGCTGGGGGGAGCGTGTCTGCTGAGAGCAAGGCTGGAGGGAGTACATCTGCTGAGCAGATCCCCATGAGCGGGAAGGCAGTGGCCGGAGGCTGCGAGCACATTTTGAAGAACGGTGTGGAGGACCAGCGGGTGCAGGCTGGCACGGAGCTGCCTTGCATGTGACTAACCTGGCTTCGATCCCTGAGCACAAAGCCAGGAACAAACCCTGAGCACAGCTGAATGTGCCCCCCTCAAAATAAAGAATGTGGGGCCAGAAAGAAGACAGGCAATTGGGCTAGCGCTGCAGCAGCTGACCCCAGTACTGCTCCTGGCACCACATGTGGTCCCCTGACCACTGCCAAGCAGTAAGCCCTGAAGGGGTGGCTCATACCCCTCTCCCCACCTCTACCACCCAAAGGAGGGTGGTGTGCAAGTTCATTTTTGAAAAGCATTTTGAGGGCTGGAGCAACAGCACAGCGGGTAGAGCGTCTGTCTTGCACGCAGCCAACTGGGCTGACCCGAGTTCGAGTCTTCTGCCTTCAATTCCTCCGCCCCTCTCGGAGAGCCCGGCAAGCTACCTACAGTATCTTGCCTGCACGGCAAAGCCTGGTAAAATACCCATGACGATATTCGATATGCCAAACACAGTAACAAGTCTCACAATGTTACTAGGTCCGCTTGAACAAATCGATGAACAACAGGACAGTGACAGTGACAGTGATTTTGAGGGCTGGAGCAATAGCACTGCGGGTAGGCCCGGACACGGCTGACCCGGGTTTGATTCCCAGCATCCCATCTGGTCCCCTGACCACTGCCAGGGGCAATTCCCGAGTGCAGATCCAAGAATAACCCCTGAGCATCACCAGGTGTGACCCAAAAAGCAAAAAAAACAAAAACAAAAACCACTTAGTGATTCATAATGGGAAACTATAGATACAAACCAAGCCCTGTGCAAGAGACTCCCAACTCAAGAGACGGGTGGGCAGCAGAGGCCATGGGTGGCGTGGGGCCACAGTGCAGACACCCCTCCTCAGCACCAGTGCTCCAGGATCCCCAGAGCCCCTCAGAAGAGCAGAGCCTGGATAACTCCTCACGAGTCATGGGGGAGGGAGGCAAGTGACGGCAAACTCCCATGTTGGTGGCCACGCAGGCAGCAGGCCCTCCCTGCTGGGGCCGAACTCTCATCCAAGGCCAGCTCCCTTGCTCTGCCAGCAGAGGTGCTGGTCGGGGCTGCCAGCTTGCAGGAGGGCTGCGCCCCACCCCCATGCCTCAGGCATCTTCAACAAAGGCACAGAAGGTGGGGGTGAAGGTGTGTGTGAGGACTCAAACCCAGGTCTCGCACCCCTGCTCCGGAGATAGGAATACTGATGGCTTCTCTCCCTCTCCCTGCCCCCGGGTCCACAGGAATCAGCTCCCCTGCAGCATTTCCCACAGCTTAGAGAAGTCAACGCTGCCCCGACGAGAGGAAAACTCCAGAACTCAGTTCTGGAACTTAATAAAAAGGAGAGCCGAGGGTGCCGGCACCTACTCACCGCTGTTCACCTGGCCGTGGAGGGCGGTGGGGACCGGCACCACGTGCGTCCCGTTCTGTGTGACAGTTTTTATGGGAAGCTGGTGCTGCCCCAGCGGTGCCTGCTGGACGATGGTGACTGTCTGCACAGGGGCAGTCTGGGACGTCTGAATGATGCGGCTTGCAGCGCCCAGTGTGGCGTGGCTGATGGCGGGAATGGGTTCCACTTTCACTGAAAGGGAGAGAGGGTTACTGGGGCGCTCGTGGCACGGCGGGCCTTGGCTCAGAGTGGCTATGGGCTCACCTTTCACCTCCCTGTGGTCCCCGTTCTCTTGTGGCTCTGCCTTCGGAGGGGCTAGCACGGTCGCCTGGGTGACCACAGCCTGCCCGGCGACCGTGTACGTGCTGGCAGGAGCCAGTGCGGCCACGCTGGTGACAGACACGGTGGGGATCTGGTGGACGACATGCACCGTCTGCACCACAGGCTGCTGGGAGGTGGTGACGGGGGCAGCAACAGTGTAGGCGACAGGCTTGATGGTTGGAGGCAGCTGCCGCTGCACCGCAATGAGAACGGGCTGGCTGGACAGAGGTGAACCTGCCAGGGGACAGGAGAATGAGCCCAGTGTTCTGCTGCCACCCCTGCCCCTGGGAATAGTCTCCACCCACATGGGAACCGGCATCTTCCCCACGCATGCCCCTTCCCCATGTCCTTTCTGCATGAGAGGAAAGCACCATCCCAGGAAGCTGGTCGCAGCTGGCCGTGGAGACCACACTCCCGCATCAGTCTTCCTCCCTCCCCACAGGAGCGAGGCCCCAGGACACACGTCAACAGAGCTAGTACTTGCTCCCCACCCACCTCAGTGCTCTGGCCAGTGGGGACCGGAAAGAGCAGTGGCTACAGGGAGACCAGCGGACACTGTCACACATGTCCTTGGCCCCACACAGCACAAGCTTTTACTTCAAGGGGCAACTGGTCAGCAAACTTGCACATGATCACGATTACTTAGAGGGCCATTTCTTTTGTCTGCCTATCAGCACCTAGTACGTCTAATCCGGGTCACTTCTTTGGAATGAGAACCTCTTCCAAACCAGTTGTCTCTGGGCTCCCCTCAGTACGGAGAGCACTGACAGTTCCACTCACGGCGCGGCTGGCTTCAGTCACAGCTCACCTGGGGCGCTCTGCGCAAAGCGCGCCTCCTGGATGACAGCGAGTTTGGGCTGTGGGGCACCAGGCTCAGGCTCCAGGGGGGCTGGTGAACCTTCTCTCGACAGGCTCTCAGGGGTCTGGGCGCCACTGGAGTGAGCCGACAGCACTCCAGCGTGGTTGGGAGAGGCCGGCGCGCTTCTGTTTCAGCAGAGAGAAGACAGTGGGTTTCCCAGGGTAAGAACTGCCGGAGCGGCCCGGTTCCGGGAAGCATCTTGCAAAAGGGGATGTCCTCTGTCCTCTGCCCCTCTGCTCCAGCCCGAGTCTCTCGCCTGTGACAGACACTCAGGGGACCTGCCTGCCCTGGGCAGGAGCAGCACGGAGCCACCAGGGCTCTCGCCTTGGTCCCAGGTACTGCGCTTGCCTCTCCCCTAAAAACACAGCACCTCCTGATTAACGAAGCTGAGATGGAGTGTCTAGAAATCAGTCATATCCAGCTCAAGTTTGAACAATAAAATGCAGCTTTCCAGCTTGCCACATGCCGGGGCAGGGTAGGGGCTGGGAGGTGGACACATTCCAATATGGCAGGCACCACTATTGCCAATTTCTCAAATAACCAATATGCCGTGCTTGGTTCAATAAGCCTCTCCGCCACACCGGGATGGAGTGAAAGCCAGACTTCACAATCTGAATTATCTGGGATCACTAGAAGCAAACCACACGGGGTAGCAACCAACCCTTTTGTTAAAATCCCCAACCCAACACTGAATCACTTATGCATTTGGTAGTTCCTTCATTGTCAAAGGAAAATGCACCAATCCGTGAGGGGCCAATGGTCGCCCATTCAGTGAGGTCTGTCGGTCCTTGTTCCTTACCTAGAGGAGAGCGGTCCCAGAGGGGTTCTAAAGCAAGGCACGCCCCTAGGCCGTCTCTTCCTAAAAGCCTGCTCTATCAGTTTGCTTTCAGAGGCGGGGTCTATCCTCCAGAATGAGCCTTTGCCTGGTTCTTCCTGGGAACGTGGTACTTTGATGAAATAACGATTCAGAGAGAGATTGTGGCGAATTGAATTCTATGGAACATAAAAAAATACGTAGAATTCATATATTTCTTTTCTGAAAAATAAAAATGTGCCCCAATTTAGTGCTCTGCAAAGCAGAAATCCAGTGCTGGGGTGCTACAGGGCGTTTCAGAGCAGACTTCGCCCCTGTATCTTCTGAGCAGGACCAGCAGGCAGGGGCACGGGAGGCAAGGAAAGGAGACGGGGTGGGGGACGCCAATATGGCCATCTTCCTCTGACAGTCTGCCTGAGCCCTCCGGGGCAACCTCTCCCCTGTGACACTCGCAGTACTCAAGGCTGCTCCCAGCACAGTGCTCAAGAGAGCAGCAATGCAGAGGCTGACCCCACCCGAACTCCAGCCAATGAGCTTTCCCCCAAGTCCCAGGATATGTTCTGAGCTTCTAGACTGTCAAAGTGATAAGGAAAAGCATGCGGTGTGGAGTCACCATGGACCAAGCCAAAGCTGGGTAACCATGACGGGACGCCTGAATGACGCCAGCCCCAAGCGAGCACTCCGCAGAGGGCCAGGACAGTGCACAGTTACCTCAAATGGGACAATAAGGAAACACCAAGTAACACCGAACTGTCCAAAAACCATCTCCAAACCCCCAAACCGCCATGAGAATTACCAGTCACAGCCTGAAATTCCCAACAGCAAACACCTTGTGAACGCACCAGTCCTTCAGAGCTGCGTGAGGGACGGCTGGGAAAGCCCAGCCACACAGGTAAAGGTATGTCACTAATTGTCACTAATACTGCACCCTCTTGAGCATCATGGGGTGGAGCCCCCCACACGGTGGGCTCATGGCAAACCAGGGCCCCAGCTGGGTGAGAAACATGGGAGTGGCCCAAGGCCCTGAGTACTATTTAGGGGGCCTGAGGAGGGCAGATGTAACCATGTGATGGAGTCTCGGAAGCAGAGTGTTGCCCACGGGCCCTGGGTCATGTCAAGTGTGAAAGGAGGCAAAATAGTCAGTGGGGGCCGGGGGCACGGCCACGGCCACCATGTGTGTCCAGGAGACAGGCTAATGGACATATGCTCGGGGTGGGGGATGTGGCGGGCGGGAAGAGGCGCTGTTTCAGGGCCTGGCCCCCACTTTGAGAAAGAGCTGTTCGCTCTTCCTACCACTCATGTCCCTGACAGCTGTCAGTTTTGTTCCCGGCAGTGCCTGGGGACCACACCTGGGCCTCTCCACACACAGCTGCTAACATATGCTCCAGCCTTGGAGCCATCTCTCTGGCCCTAAACAGCGCCTTTTTCTTGCCTTTTCTACTTCTGGTTTTTGGGCCACACCCATTAGTACTCAGGGATTCCCTCCTAGTGGTGCTCAGGTCTGGGAAATCAAATCCAGGTCACCTGCATGCAATGCCAGTGCCTTGCCGCTGACCTCTCTCTGGCCCCTCTTTTGCCAGGGATCAAGCCCAGGTCTCGCGCAGAGCATATACTCAACGGCTGACTTACGGCCTGAGTAGGGCAGGCAAGGACAAGCACAACAGGGTGAAGCTACCTTTGTACTCTCGGTGACCTGTTCAGAAATGACCACCCGTGATTCTCAGCCATCTAAATAATGAAAAGGAGCAAGAGGAACTGTTGAATATAGGCGCAGAGAAAAATCACAAAACCATTTTCTAAGGAAATTTAAGGCCTGTCACGTCAAGCTCTAGAAACCATGCTGATGTAGAGTGCAGCAAGTCAGGAATGATTAGAACAGAGAAGAGGCAAGCTCTCACTCTCGCACCTCAACAGTGGCCTGGATGAACCAAAAATATACAACTGAAAAATCAAATGATCACAGAGAATGTGGCTGGGGCTAGTTCTCAGTGGTACAGGCTGCCAAGTCCATTCTCCGCATCCCATAAATACATTTAAAACAGATTCTTTCCAATAAAACCAAGGACAAAGAAAAGCGCTTCCGCTCCTGAGTACCCTCTTTTCCATGCCTCATCTGAGCTCCAGTCCCTCCCACTGCAATAAGGCTCCAGCCAGAGCAGATAGCGGGGCTGGGGGTGGGTGTCTGGCAGAGCAGAACCACCTCCTTGCTGCCAACAGCTTTCCAAACTTGTATTTTTATTTTCATTTTGTTTTTTTGAGCCACATCTGAAGCAGCTCAGGGGACCATAAGGGGTGGCAGAAGTGGAACCAGAGTCAGTGGTGTGTAACACCAGAGTCTAACCCCCTAAACTCTATTTTCCATCCCATAACTTTTCACTCACACAACAAACACCACAATTCTGGGTGGAGCAAATTATTAATTATAAGAAAAGCTTTTTGGAAAGAAATGTGCCATTTTCCCATTTTCCTTGTTTGACCCTAGGCTCTCCAGATGCTACACAGCAAAACACCAAGGATAGGTGGGACCCGCACCAGTGTGCCACGGTGACAGGCACGGAGGGGAGAGTCAGGAGAACCCCTGGGAACCAGCTCAGAGTACGAGAATCGAGCCCATGCACTGCCATGTCCCTGTCCTTGGGAAACCCACACTTTGTACCATGGCTGTTCTGGTGGACAGCCCGTTTTCTCCCCCAAAGGCAAGGGACCTAGCTCTCCTTGTGGACAAGGCTACAGGACAGTCCCACGGTGTCCGTGCGGCAACCGAGAAGGACAACAGAGAATCTTGGAAGAAAGGAAAGGCAAGAGCAGGTCAGTGCTAAGGGCAGGCAGGGAAAGGTGAGGACAGTGGAAGGACAGGTGGATATCTGGACCAGGAGCAGCCTGACACAGGGAAGCGGCTCTCTCCCATCTGGACAGCAACACTGGGAGGCAGCACAGTGGACCTGCTCTGAGGGGACCCTGTCAGAACTGGAAACCGAGGACTGCAGGTGCACCCTGAAGAGGAACTCGTACCCAGGGCAAAGAGGCACATGAAGACCACAGGGAAATGTGCTGCCCGGCACCCCAACCCATAGGAACTCTGCGGGAGCAAAGCTTTCAGTTCCCTCTGGCCCACGAACTTGGGCTCAGCTCTCAGCTGGGTAGGGTCTTTTGGTGTTTTTATTTTAGGGGGACCACACCCCACAATGCTCAGAACTGACTCCAGGCTCTGTACTCAGGGATCGCATGGGACTCGTGTAATGGAACGTGGGCTGGCCGTGCACAAGACATGGCCCTCCCTGCTCTACCATGGCTCTGGTCCTCGGGTTCCCTGTTTCACAGCAGCCGTGAAGCACAAGCTCACACCTACAGACACAGTCACTCTGCACTGTGCAGAGCCTGTTTCAGCGCTAGGTACGGACACTCTCCAGTCCAGCACTGTCCTCACTGTTGACCACTGTGAACACGCGGAGGGGTAGGAGCAGATGCAAACCACCCAACCTGGAGCGAAGATTGATTCCCCAGCACTGAAGCCCACAGAAAGGGCATCGCCACCTCTGGTGGACACTATTATTACAGGAAAAAAAAGAAACATTTTTACCCTTCATTAAACAGAAAACTCCAAGATGTGGGCTGGAGCCATAGTACAGCAGGGCGTCTGCCTTGCATGCAGCCAACCCGGCTTGATCCCAACCTCCTCCACAGTCCCCGAGTACCACCAGGAGTGCAGAGTCATGAGTAACCCCCAAGCATCTCCAGGTGTGGGCCCAAAACAAACAAAATTAATACAGGTGAGTAAATAAATAGCTAGCAAAATCTCTGCTCAGACCTCAGTGAGGGGGTGCAGGCCGCATCTGTGCTCTAGGCCCACAGGAGAAGGGCCTCTGAAGATATGGTTCCTCCATTAAATCACCTGAAGGAGGTCGCGGAGCAAACATTAAAAGCTATCCAACACGGAAGACCAAAGGAAAGGAGGGCTGGATTCCTGTTACTATTTATGGCGTCATGGATGGACCCAGGCCTCACACATGAGTCATACACTCCACAGAGCTACATCGCTGGACCCGAGGGATGTATTAACTATTTGTGAGTGATGGGGCCAGCGGGGGACTTCCTGAGCAGTGCTCAAAGGGCCCTGGGGCCAGTCTTGGTGATACTCAGCCACTCAAAGGTTCAATGCTCAGGCCCAGTGATGCTAGGGGTCACCAGGGCAAAGCAGGTAGCACTGGGGGACAGCCTGCATGGGGTGTTCGGGATCAAACTTGGGGCTATGGCCCCAGCCCTGGTTGATGTTTATCATTCAATAACCAAATCAGACAGAGCAGACTGCTCCCACCCATGGAGACTCCCAGTGAGGAACCGTGGGCTACGCCCCACAAGGCAGGGGTCCCACTCGGGGAGCCGCGCCCACCTCACTCTTGGCCCGAGGTCAACCAAGCCACTCAGCATGTACACAACAAGCAGCAGAGGGATTCACCAACGCGCGGAAACGTTTTTACCTGCCAGCCCTTGTCCGCGGTCCTGTAGTATGGGTAATTTTTAGTGATGTGAGTGTAAATTCCATTGAGAGTGAGCTGTTTGTCAGGAGCCATCGTAATTGCTTGTACAATTAATTGTGCGTAGGAATAAGGTGGCTTTGAATCATCCTGTATTTAAGTTGAAAAGAAAACAAAAAGTACTGATGTTATCTCCCCCCTCCCCCCAAAATGTGTTCTTGGGCCACACCCAAAAACTTGACTTTGCATTCAGGCATCACTCGTGATGGACTCGCAAACCATATTGGATGCCAGGTCACCTGTGTGCAAGGCCAGAGCTTTCCCCACTCTACTATCTCTCTGGCCCTTATGAAAATTTTTATTATTTTTACTAAAAGTCAGGATTAGTGTTCTTAAATTGTCCCTGGGACAATATTTATTACTAGAGTACTAAGAGACTCTGGAGAATATCTGGAATAAGTGGAGGAAGGGAATGAAAATGTGTATAGCAGTGTGAAAATAAAAACTACTTAAGAAGAGTGTCCAAACGGCACAAAGGAAAAAGAAAAGAAGAGCTTACTCACTAGCCCAGGGCAGTACACATTAACTCTCGCCAGAGGCTGGTCCCATGGCACTGGTGGTCGTAAAGACACCAAGACCAGTGATGGCCCAAGAGGAGGAACAAGCTGGCGTGTACCCCAGGCTGGGCGAGGGTCTTCACGTGCATCCAGACCACACAGAGGCTGTCCTAGGTCTGAGCAAACTCTGGTGCCCGTCAGTGCTCACTGTGGCAGTGCAGGGAGGGCAAGGATAGCAATCAAGGCGGTGCTTTGTGAGGCGAGGAACAGACTACCACAGACACCGCTGTGGGCAGGTACCCGGGAGGGGACGTGCAGGCATGGAAAGAAGGTCCCCTGACACGACACGCTGATCGTGAGGATCAGAGAACGCTCCTGGCACCCACCTGACAGTGTCTGCACTACACCTGCCCCTGGGGAGACACATTTGTTGGCACCAAAGCAGTCTGAGTTCCCAGAGGACCCAGCAGGGTTATTTAGCCAGTGCAGGGGCAGAGTGAGGACAGTGGGCACCACACCCACCCCGGCCCTGGCTGCTTCAAGGCTCCAAAACACTTACCTCGGGGTCGGAGAGATAGTACAGCAGGTAGGGCGTTTGCCTTGCACGCAGCCGACCCGGGATCGATCCCCGGCATCCCATATGGTCCCCCGAGCACCGCCAGGAGTAATTCCTGAGTGCAGAGCCAGGAGTAACCCCTGAGCATCGCCGGGTGTGGCCCAAAAACCAAAACCAAAACCAAACCAAAAACAAAAAAAAGACCACACTTTACCTTGGGACTATCTCCACCTGATGCCTCCTTTTCATTTTCTGGCTGTGAGTTGTCGGTCATTAAATTGAGGTCAGACGGTATCACACGGCCCATTTTGTACCCTGAAGACCCCGCTCCCCGGGGACTGGATGGGCAGGAGTTTGCAGCACTGTGGACCAAAAAGGAGGTTTCTCTCAGACAGACACAGAACATACATCACACTGCTCTCAGAACTGGCTCTGATCTGCACGAAAGCAAGCTGAAAATGGAAGAGCCAGGCCAGAGAGAGAATACAGCAGTTAAGGTACCTGCCTTACAGGTGGCCAAAGACAGCTCAATCCCCAGCATCAGACACAGTACCCCAAGCAGCAACGAGAGGGATCCTTGAGCACAGAGGAGTAAGTGCGCACACCAGCAAAACAGAAAAGGGGAGAGCTCTCAGCATTCCCAAGGGAAACGGGCCCATCAACACCCTGGGACTGTGCAGTCACCCAGGCAGCAGCTGGAATGAAGTCAGCTTCCATAGCTGGCCACGGCCTCCAACTCGGCCAGGAAAGGCCGGGAGAGAGGGGACCAAGGAGCTCCCAGGCCGAGGCTAGTGGCCCATGAACACCTACCTTCAGGCAGGGTCGCTGGAGCAGGGCCAGCCTGGCTGTGCGGACCATCTCCCCACAGGGCAATGCTGGCTCCTGAGCTCCAACCTCCACTGTGTGTCTGTGAGGGCTGGGCCTATTGCATTCGTGTTCTCTCTCCCGTACAGTGCTGTACCTCTTTTATTTTTTGGTTTGAGCCCACCGATGGCAGTGCTCAGGGGCTATTCCAGGCTCTGTGCATAGGAATGATCTCTGGCAGTGCTCAGGGGACCCTATGTAGTAACATGACTCAAAAACAGGGTCTACCCCACTCAAGTTCGGTTAGCTCCTGTACTCGCTTTAAAAAGGAGTTTTTGTAATGGAAAGAGATCAAGAAAAGACTCTTAAACTTTAGGTTAGTGCCAGAACAATATGTACGCATGGTTTGACCTCACTGAGTTGGAGGGCTGGAAAAAGGAGTATCATAAATGGATCCACTTGAAAGTGCTGGGGGTGCACGGGTAGCTCTGGATTCTTACCTGTAGGACAGCAACAGCTTAAGAGCTCAGAGGGCCAGTGGTGAGCTGGGCCCACACTGCACACAGGCACTGCCTGAGAGGAATTCCTCGTGCTAAGGTCACACTCATCAGTCCCAATCCCGGGCACCAGAACTGCTGTAAGGTAAGTGAAAGCAGGCCAGAGCTCTGGGGGGGCCAGGGAGCAAGCAGTGCATTCTGGAAGCCCAAGTCTCCTCCCGGGCAACAACAGTGCTTCCAACACTGCCAGAGGGTGACTCCCAAGGCAGTGCAGGGACAAGGTTCAAAGACACACAACAGAGACAATAAATTCTGGCCAGAGAGGCCAACCTGGGATTGATCCCAGCATCCCTTATGGTCGCCCTAGCATCACAAGAAGTAACACGAGTACAAAGCCAGGAGTTACCCCTGAGCATTGTCAGGTGTGATTCAAAAACAAGCAAATAAGAGAAAAAATGAAACTCCAACACAAGGGGCTGGAGTGATAGCACAGCGGGTACGGTGTTTGCCTTGCATGCATCCAACCCGGGTTCGATTCCCAGCATCCCATATGGTCTCCCGAGCACTGCCAGGAGCAATTCCTGAGTGCATGAGCCAGGAATAACTCCTGTGCATCGCCAGGTGTGACCCAAAAAAGCAAAAAAAAAAAAAGAAAAAGAAATTCCAACACAAGAACAGGTAGAGAGCTCAAGTGGGAGCACAAGTCTATCGTGTGGCAGGGGGGAGGGGAGGGAAAGGAATGAGTTCCATGGCGGGGTATACGGCTCTGGGGGACTCGAACACCCCACCACTGGCCCCTAGTAAAGCTAGAACAGTAGGGATTTTCGTTCCAAAGCAGAATGCTTAAGCAGCAAGGAGCACCCAAGCATTACCCACACAGTCCAGCAAGGAGGACAAAGCGCCTCGTGCGTTCCTGCAGTCACTGGATGTGTCCATGTTCCTGAGTGTATGCAGGCCTTGTGACCCATCCCCCACACAGGACACCCATCTCTGCATGAGTACCTGATGGTCCCCGTAGGGGAGGGAAGGGGGCTGATGAGGTGGGCCATGGTGTCTGGAATGTTGATGGTCAGGGGCGAGATATGGGCCTGCACGGGCTTCACTGGGGACTCAGGCGCCTCCTGCTTCTCCCGCTTCTCGTTGGACAAGGCAGTGAATGTGATCTTGATGTTTGTGCTGGGGAACCTGAAGGTGCACCTGGAAGAGAGAGGTAAGAGTCAGCCCCGCCGGGAGCAGGGTCCCCACAGGAAGCCAGGGAGGAGGAAGCACCAAGCACGAGCACTCACATGAGCCAGAGACCACTGAATCTGTCAGCTCCTCTTGAAATGAATGGACAAGTATGTGTCGGGTTTGAAACTAATGTACAAGTACACCTGAGTACAACACTTCCCAGCTGCTTCTCATTTTAAAAAAAGAAAAATGACTCCTTCCAGTTTAAAGACTCCTGAGGCTGGAGAGACAGGACAGCAGGGAAGGTGACTGCCCTGCATGCAGACAACCCTCATTCAGTCCCTGATGCCACTGAGCCTGGCCAGGAGTGATACTGGTACTCAGAGCAAGAATAAGCCCTTAGTACTGACTACCTGGTATGGACCAAAACAAAACAGTTAAAAACTTCTATCACATATTTTCAATGAACTAAGAAAAGCCAGAAATACTAAATTTGGGGGAGAAGGAAGTTTATAATTTAACACCCTTGCTCGCCCTCTGTGAAGGGTGGACAAAGCCACATCCTGTGAGGTTCAGGTCACTCCTGGCTCTGCAGGGATCACGCCTGATGGTGCTCAGGGGAGCATATGGGATGCCAGGGGTTGAACCCAAGTCTGCCACGTGCAAGGCAAGGGCCTATCTGCTGTGCTATCACTCAGCCCATTAGCTCACCTGTTTTGTTACTTCCCTGATATGACTTAGTAGTGAAAAAGAAAAAAGGAGGGGTCTGAGGCCACAGCACAATTGGGAGGGTCCCCGAGTCTGCCAGGAGTGACCCCTGAGCACAGGCGTTGGAGCGAAGGGGGCGGGGAGAGAATGAAAAAGCTAAACCCAAGACAAACACCTCAGAGTCCCAGTCACTCTCCACCCAAGAGCATAGACGCCAGCGCCCCACAGCTGACATGCAAACCTGACCTCGGCGGCCCTCCCTGCACCAGGCTGCACTGCCCATCCTAGGTGGGCACCACACAGGCCACAGGCTCACTGCTCTTGCTCACTGGCCGTCTCTGCACTCACCACCTGCTGCCTCCCTCCTGCATCCACCTCGGAAGGATCTGCCTCTGAGTCCCTCAGCAAAAGAAGCAGAACCTGAGGAGAGCTCCTCTCCCTGGGGTTCAGCTCAGACAGCCTAGCCCCTGCTCCTACCTCCCGAGACTCCTCTCCTCTCTGCTGCTCTTTTTTTCAGACTTCCAAGCTTCTCCTTTTCTTTGCTGCTGCTGCTGTTTGGGGGGGCCAGCCCAGATGGGGTTGAGATGAATTTTAGGCTACCCAGTGCCTCCCTCTATTTTCACTCCCCAATAAGCTAGCCAGGTCAGTACCAGTGATTCCAGACTGATAAGCATCCTATACCCCAGTGCTCTCAGGAACTCCCTTACACCCACACCTGCATCTCCAGTCCCTCAGGACCCCAGAAGGTGAGGGAGAGCATCACCCCTGCTATTCAAGCCAGAAAGCTGGACTCACCCATCAAGTGCCAGGGGCACGAGGAGCAGGTAGCAATAAGGGCACAGGCCTAGCATGAGTCCAAGCTGGGTTCAATTCCTGGCACCCTGGGGTGGCCTGGGGGATCCCTGAGCAGCCCATGCTCAGGCCCGCTCACTGAGCCTCAGCTCTTGGCAGAGGCTCGCCAAGGGGAAGGGGGGGAAAGCAGGCTACCTGGGCAGTGCTTGGGAAATGTCCAAAAAACCCAAACAGGCCCAATTCTAGAATGGAAACAGATGCTCTGACAGAACCTGCTAACACTACAAAGCCAGGTGAGCTTCCCAAACAACCGAGGACTGCTCCCAGACGACCTACCGCGCAAACAGCCGAGAGAGAGAGAGAGAGAGAGAGAGAGAGAGAGAGAGAGAGGGAGGGAGGGAGGACCTGTTCAGTAGCACACAGGCGCCTAAGGTACATGCCTCACCCCACCCGGGAGAGGGGGCTGCCTTGGCTGCCTTGACCGCCTCCTGGGAAACCTGGGTGTTAGTTTCTCCTCTAGGGCGACCCAGGCATCGTGTGCTGAGTAGCTTCTGTCCTGGGCACGAGGCCCAGAGAAACACTTGGGCCCCTAGACAGCACCACATAAATGTCCCCCGAGTCTACTGCTAACAGATGACTCGACTCAAATGTCCTTCATCAAGAGAAAGGCCTGCAAACCCTGCTTGTGCACAAGGCAGTCAAGGACTCGGCAGTCAAAAGGAACCATGCCTGATGCGGCAGCAACACTGCGTGGTATCAGACAGGGTGAGGAAACATCCCTTCCCCCAAGTCACACCCGCCACGACCCCAATTTCATAGTACCCTTGAAACGACACATGACAGACCTGGAAAACACGGGAGAGGCGACAGAGAGGCCAGTGCTCTCCAAAACCTCACAGGTGGCATGTCGGGGGATCACAGATACCAATAAAACCCAACACGGAGAAGGCAAGAATAGGGAGATAAGACCCGTCAACAGCGTCCCCCTCAGGCATGGTGGGCTAGTCACCAGGCCCGTGGGGGTGGCAGAACAAAGGGGCTGTAACGGTGCTAAGCCAAAACCTCACAGGACCCAACAGCCTCACTCCTCATGGTCCCTGGCCCTCAACCAGCAGGTCCCTCTGATTCCTGTTTCAGTCCATTAGGCCCCAAAGCCAGAGCGAATTTAACCAGCTGAAGAGCCCAAGGGGATGAACAAGAGCCTCCATCCCAGTCGGCCAGGGCCTGCCCCTTCCTCAGGCTCAGCATGCAACTCCTAGCCCCAGTCACACACCTGCCATTCCACTCTGTCCCACCCAAACCCTCCTCCTGACACCCATCCTGATGCCCATCTTGCCCTTGCCCACCTGCTCCCCCATCTGTAGACCTGAGCCAAGAATGGCCCCGAAAACACACCTGTTGGATGGGAAAGTGCTGAGAAAGTGAGTGAGAATGAGTCAGCACGCAGGGTAAAGCTCTTGATGTGCCTGCCAAGAAGACCAGGGTTCCATCTCGCCCACAGATGGTCCCCAGAGCACAGAGCCAGTAGTGACTTCTAAGCACAGCTGGGTGTGGCTCAAAAACAAAAAATTAAAAATCACCCACCTCGGGGCTGGAGCAATAGCACAGCGGGTAGGGCGTTTGCCTTGCATGCGGCCGACCCGGGTTCGATTCCCAACATCCCATAAGGTCTCCTGAGCACTGCCAGGGGTAATTCCTGAGTGCAGAACCAGGAGTAAACCCTGTGCATCGCCGTTATGACCCCCAAAAAAAAAATCACCCTCCTCAAGCAAAAGGGGAGCCTCAACCTAATGGCTTGCAAAAGCCTCTCTGTCAGTAGCGAAGATGTGACTAGTCAGCTCAATCCCTAGGAGAGAAGGTGGAGGTGCCTCGACATCCACATCCCCACGGACAGTTGCGAGGTTTTTTCCAGTTGCCACGTGGGAAGCAGCTCTGATTTGGGTTAGCCCATGTCACAGCCACAGCTGCTGTGCCAGAGGGGGATGCTGGCCCTGCATGCAGCCAACCCAGGGCCAATCCCCAGCACCCCATATGCTCCCCCAACAAGGAGTGGTTCTTGAGCAGAGCCAGGAGTAACCTCAGAGCAGCCCCCGAGAGAGCCACCCCCAAAAAGGGAGGGACAACCTGTCAGCGGCTCTGATTCCTCAGAGGCAGGACCATCACCGTGGTGAGGCCTGAATACCCAGGTGGACAGGCTATTCCCTTTGTTACTACGGGATCTTAGGGACCACCCCCCACACTGGACATAATCGCTCGCTCTGGTGAAGGGCAGGATTCCAACTGCAGGAATTGGAGGCTTTCTCCTCTCCTCCCACAGGCTCTGACAATACCACGTGGTAAGGATCTCAGGGAGACAGAAAGATGCCGGGAGAGCACTCACAACACAGGGGAGCAGAAGGGGGCTCACACTGCTGTAGGCAAGGCCACTGAGCACCTGGAGTGCAGGGAACGAGAGCAGAGGCCGGGGAGCTCCTGAGCTCTGCTGGGAACAACTCCCAAGAACACAGCAAGGAGAGCCCCTGGGTACAGCCAGGTCTGAGTTTAGATTATCGGTAAAGCTCTTGGGTCAGAGCAATGGTACAGGGGGAAGGCACTTGCCCTGCATGCAGCTGACCCTGGTTTGATTTCCAGTATCGCACATGGTCCCCCAAGCACTGCCAGGAGCAATTTCTGAGTACAGCTCGGTGTGACCCAAAAAAGGAAAAAAAAAATTATCTGTAAATCTTGGCAATAATTTACTTTTTTGTTTGGGGCCACACCTGGGAGTGCTCAGTTTACTCCTGGCAGTGCTCAAGGGATCATGGACAGAAACAGGGACCATTCTGGGGAACACTGATTGCATGGCAAGCACCTCAACCCTGTTCAAACTCTCTGGCTTGGCAATGACTTTTTAACATCAAGCAAAAGCAATCTGGAACAACAACAACAAAAAAACACTGATCAAATCTGAATGGAAGAAAAAACCAGTAGCCAATCAGTCATCCAAAACATACTAAGGGGAGGGGGACGGCAGTCATGGCAGAGCCACAGCAGAGCTGGCAGGGTGTGCCTTGCAAGCGGCCAGCCCAGGTTAGCTCTACCACACCCGAAATGGTCCCTCGTCCCTGGAGAGAATGATCCTTGAGCAGAGAGCCAGGAGCAAGCCCTGAGCATCCAACACCAAACAACAAAGGACACTATCGGAACAATGCCCCTCATCTAGAGCAGCAGAGTCCAGCCAGTGCTCAGCAACCCTGGGAGCTGCCCCTTGCAGGAAGTGGGTTAGCAAACAGTCCACGCCCCAGGGCAGCCCAATGGGGCAGGCTCACCAAGGGGGGAGGGGGGTTGGATGACACCAGCCCCTCTAGAGAGCAAAGGTGTTTTTGTTTTTATGCCACACCTGGCAGTGCTCAGGGCTTACTCCTGGCTCTCCACTCAGGAATCACTCCTGGTGGGGGATGGGGTACCATATGGGGTGCTGGATTAAACTCAAGTTGGCTGTGTATAAGGCAGGCAGCCAACCAGCTGTATTATCTCTCCAGACCATA